GTATATTGCAGTACAAGGGTATATCGTAGCGTACCACAATACAGAGATGAAATATCGCTGTGTCGCAATAATTTTCAAAAACTTATTTTTATGTATCCGCTTGGTGTTTTACCTTTGCAAATCACTACAAATACAGATATGCCAATAAGCATACAAGCACTTTTGGTAAGGAAGCACTGCATGAAGTTTGAGTTTGATCGGTCCAAGGAAACTCAAGTCATCGCACCAAAAACAGATTTTTTATAGTAACAGTGACCTTGACCTTTGGACCTGAAAAGCAATCCCAAGCAAGCACTTTCGGTAAGGAGGGCAATGCATTAAGTTTGAGTTTGATCGGCCCAATGAAACTCAAGTTATCGCACGAAAACCTCTGTGCGGACGCCGTCGCCGACATAGCAATACCTATGTGTCACCAGCTTTTCGCAGGCGACACAAAAACAGGCTTTTAATAGTGGTGGGAATTAGTTGAAATTTTGTAATCGATGGTTGGTTTGATCCATATTATATATGATTAAGTCTGATAACAATCTGACAACTTATTATAAAATTGAACATATCTTTCCTATGACAATATATCGGGATACGTATCGCAATATATTCATTCTGTATTGTAATATTTATCGGGGTACACACTTTGCATATTGTGACACCCCTATTATATAACACTAGCTACTGATATTCCATTTATGAATCAAACTTTTTAAAGGGGCATGACAGTGAAGCAACTTTATTTTTTGTCTTTTTTTTTTCAAATTCTGCATTAACATATCAAGTGAGACTCCTTATGGAAAATAACGATCGGATTTGGCTGAAATAGATTCATAAAAATGATTAAATCTAAGAACTTCATCAGTATTTCTACCTGTCTGACCAACGTTTTGTTCAGGGATTTTCTTTTACTAGCGCATGCGCATAGCACACCATTTCTTTGTTAACAAAATGACTGGCCGTGTGAAGTAAGCGAAAGAAAAGTGTTGTACCGTGTCAGCTACGAAACGAAAAGTTGCCAAATGGTCAAAACATAGCGCAAGGAGAACGTTACAGAATCATTATTGCAGGTGGGCAGTATTCAAAGGAGAAAATAACTGCCGTAGAAGTTATTACGGTGCATGTATTCTTCCGGATAGCCGGTTAAGCTGAAATAGAATCGACAGAAATGCTAGCGCTTTTTATGTTAAGAATAAATATCTAAAACCATTAAGCTCGCTAGTATCTTTGTCTGAAATTGAACACAGATGAACTTATTTTAATATGTTAATGGGCATGTATTGGAGAGAGTTTGCTTTGTGTTTCTATAATTATACAGTGGTTTATGTGAAAGGAAGGGATAAGTGACTGGTTAGTTTGATTTTTCCATGAGGCCTTCCAAGGGATAACTGTTGTGATGGTCCAGGGCGTATTTTCTGGGTCACCGAGATATGTGTTATCGAAGTCCGTGGATTTACATAATTTATAATATTACCGGGTTCAATAAAATGGTACGATTAATTATACTAATATGAATACCTGGCCTCCTCTGCCCCGGCAACATATAAAAAAAAATCCGAAAGGTTTGTCCCTTGGTGTAGGGAAGGTTTTAGCCCCAGCCACATTCCGGTACTAAATTCAATATATATTTAAATACCGGTATATCTACTTTATGTTTATGCCTATTATCATTATTGATATTAATTGTAAATGTATGACGGGAGAAGGCTGTGATAAATAGTAAAAAACTTGTGCCCCATCCCTTGTTTAATTTTATTGGCAACAAATTTATGTTTAAAGCTAAATAAATTTAAATTCTGAATATTGGCAAGTGTGCAATTAACTTCTAATGATGAATAATTACTGTTCAATAAGTTTGAATACGGACTTTGAAATCATATAACTTGGTTTCATAGTGCGGAAAGAAGTTGCAGTTGCCTGACGGCCCCTCTCTGGAGGCCTCTTTGGAAACCGTTTCATCTCCCTCGCACCACGTGTTACAGCCTAGTTAGGTGACGTTATCGACGCTTTTTTTAGCAGGGCTTTCCCGAACAATTCAAGTGGTCAAACTGGGCATTTGGAACGGACTATGAATATGGGGATAGCGTGGTAACATAAGTGGAAGTGCATACAATACACACATTCAATAATAAAAAAAAAAAACGCCTTTTCATGTGATGTCCCTTTAAGAGTCATATTTCTCACTGTCTTCACAAACAATCAAAGTCAAAATATTCATCGCCAGAATTATCAAAAGTGGCACCATTTATGTCAAACACCGCCACCACCTCTGTCCTATTGAAATTCGAAATGTCACAATGGATGCTGAAACACTTTATATGTTCATGTAAAAAACTGTATGTGATGATGCTATAATACTACAGATGAATACCTACAGCATGTGATAGGTTTCTTTATGAAGTTTCATCAGACCAAAATATGTCCGTCACTTTAAGCATATAAAAGGATTTAGTGTCCCCTTATTAAAATGCAGAAGCAGAACCGGACAAATCCTACTTGTTTATATATTTTTAGTAGAAGTTAGCAGTGTTTGTATTTAATAGCTCTTGTGTTCTGTAACAGTAGTGTAAATATAATGTTAGTTGTATCATTTCATTCACTTGTTTAGTGCTGACTTAAACAGATCTAGATGAAACTTTTTAAAGAAAAAAATGTATACATGTAGGTATGTATGTATGTATATTAATGAAAACAAGAGGCCCAGATGGCCTGTATCGCTCACCTGGATACCTATGCAATCATGGCAAACTATTCTCCAAATTAGATCAAGGGAATATGCCAGACCCCAAGGCCAATCCTTGTAGCATAGCTATATTAGATTTTTCATGCCCAGCAATTTTATGTATGGTTATGGGGTGGGGATCTCAACTGTTTCGAAGCTTTGACTCAGAAACTAGGTCCCTATAGTTGTGGCCAGACCCCAGGATCGATTCTAATATTGTGACTGCATTTGTCTCTTTTTTTCAAGCATTTGTATATATAGTTTTGGGGTGGGGATCTCAACCGTTTCAAAGTTATGACCCAGGGGCCAAGTCTGCAAGGGTGGGGCAGACCCTGGGATCAATTCTAATGTCATGACTGCATTCGTCTCTTTATGCCCAACAATTGTATATATAGTTTTGGGGTGGGGATATTAACCATTTCAAAGTTATGACCCAGGGGTTAAGTCTCCAAGGGTGGGGCAGTCCCCAAGGCCAACCTGGAAGCATATGTGCAATCATCTCTTTATACTCAGCAATTGTATATATACGGTTATAGGGTGGGGCTCTCAACTGTTTCCAAGCTGTGACTAAGAAACTAGGTCCCTAGGGGTTCGGTCAGACCCCAGGGTCTATTCTGATATCATGATTGCATTCGTCTCTTTATGCCCAGCATTTGTATATATAGTTTTGGGGTGGGGATCTCAACCGTTTTAAAGTTATGGCCCAGGGACTATGTCTCCAAGGGTGGGGCCAGACCCTAGGGACATCCTGGAAGCAAATGTGCATTCTTCTCTTTATACTCAGCAATTGTATATATGGTTATATGGTGGGGATCTCAACCATTTCCAAGTAATACATTTTATTGGCCCCACCCCTTAGCCCGGGGGGTCAGCCCCACCATTTGTACAATTTTGAATCCCTGCCTCCCATGAATACTTCCGACCAAATATGATCAATATCCATGGCATAGTTCTGCAGAAGAAGTCATTTATAGCAATATAACCAAATTGCCCCCTTTTGGCCCCGCCCCTCAGCCCCCTGGGGGGTCAGCCCAACCGTTTGTACAATTTTGAATCTCCACCACCTAGAGATGCTTCCAGTCAAATAAGGTTGATATCCATCACTTAGTTCCAGAGAAGAAGTCACTTAAAGCAGTATAGCCAAATACCCTTTTTGGCCCTGCCCCTCAGCCCCCTGGGGGGTCAGCCACACCATTTGTACAATTTTAAATCCCTGCCTCCCAGGAATGCTTTTGATCAAATATGATTGATATCCAGTGCACAGTTCTACAGAAGAAGTCGTTTGTAGCAATATAGCCAAATTGCCCCCTTTTGGCCCCGCCCCTAAGCCCCCTGGGGAGTCAGCCCCACCATTTGTACAATTTATAATCACCACCACCTAGGGATGCTTCCAGTCAAATATGGTTGATATCCACTTCTTAGTTTCAGAGAAGAAGTCGCTTAAAGCAATATGGGCAAATTGACCCCTTTTGGCCCCGCCCCTCAGCCCCCTCGGGGGTCAGCCCCATTTTTTGTACAATTTTGAATCCCCACCACCTAGGGATGCTTCCAGTCAAATTTAGTTTAATTCCAACCAATGGTTAAGAAGAAGAAGTCGTTTAAAGAAATTGTTGACGTACGGACGGACGGACAGACGGACGGACGCCATGGTATGGCATAAGCTCACCTTGGTCCTTCGGACCAGGTGAGCTAATAAAAAAATAAAATAAAAATTGCACTCCCTTTTATTATGTATGTATGTATTTATATATGTATGTATGTTACTGAAAATAATAGTTATTATTTTCTAATAGCACTTATCTTACATTTATTCGTTATACTGTTGCCTGGTTCAGATTTTTATTATTAAGTATAAAATAAAATATGAAAGATTCCATGAAATAACCGAATATCTATCTAGATCTGTGTTCAATGACTAGCGCTTTACAGTATACATGATAACAAGCAAATAAGGAGGAAGTAGGGTAGGCATAGGCAAGGAACAGTAACTCTTAACAACAAACATGGACCAATTTGTTAATTGCTTTCCAAACGTTTCAATCATTTTGGTCAAGGTTTTCATTTATGAAATAGAGATGGACTGCGTGATTTGATGGTACTATCTGACAAGACTTGGATAGGATTTTCAAGGCTTGCATCAACATTTACAAGTCTAAAAAGTCTTCATCCATGAAATATGAATTGTAGAAATAGACTAACTGGTTTGACTGTATTAACAAACAGGCCCATGTACAAAATTCTAAACAGATGCATAAGAAGGGAAATAACTCTAAAATGGCAACAAACTCACCTACCACTTACAATTAATCACTGCTATTTTTTCATAGCCTGCACAAAATAAAATTAATTTTAATACCTGCTGCTATAATAGTTTTTAATATATGTTACATTAATGAATCCCAATATATATTTTTATGAGCCAAACTATCTAATTTAGTATCATTCTGAAGAAGTTTTACATACTAAACTTGTTCTTTTTCAAATCTGGTCAATTCATAATTAGCATAAGTGGAACATTTATTATGATTTTGCTATAATTTCTGCCAACTATTTTTCAAACCTTGTACTCATCTTTTCGAGTATACACACCATGCAGACTTTTGCTGATGAAGTAGGTCCTCCCTTGTGACATCACATTCCAGATGGTATGATTTGCGTACTTTTTTGTATAAAGAGATGTGGGATCGTTTTTATTATTCTGTGTTATTGAATTTATAATTCATTTATGTACCCAGGGTAACTATAATGTGCAAATCATAAAGTGTGTACACATTTCATTTATTTATTCATTTTTCTTTTTGCACATTTTTTGTTTTATTAAATCATGATGTTATAATGATTTAAGATGGGGTTTTTTGTCTGGGAAATATTAATATTAATTAGGCAAAACGGATATTGTTTTTACATATCTACCCCTGTAAATTGATTAAATATCACTATATACAGATGTTGTATGTACTCTCTGCCCCAAAACTTTTTTCTAAGATAATTAAAAAAAAGAAATGCAATTTGTATCATAATAATAAGGCATATCTGTCCCCACTCAAGGTCAGTTTGGCTTAGGATATTTTGTTCTTGATATACAATATTGTATTGATTAATATATATATGCTAGTTGTATTGACTGTATCAAATTGTATATCTATGTACTGTAAAGCGCTTTAGAGTGGCTTATGTTAGCTAGATAGGGCGCTATATCAAATGTTGTATATTATTATTATTATTATTATATCTTTGTTCAAAAATTAATTTAGATAGCCATGTATTTTATGGACTTTTCCTTTCTCTTGAGACAATATTTTAGTGACTGAAAAAAAAGGTTGTACCCATAACTCTGGATAGGACTAGTAATATATCAAGAATTCTAGTATTTTTTGTTGTCCAAGAAAGATTTAATGTATTACTCAAATAACATTGTATATCTATTAATAATAAAAAATAAATATATGCTTACAAAACATCTCAACTTATGTACATTGAGATTCTGTCTACACAATACTTTTGTAATGAAAGTTTGATAGAGGAATGTATTTTATTAACAGAAATGTATGACCCAATTGTCATTTCATCTGAAACGTTGGGGCAAGAGGGTCCATGTCTCCATACCATAGTTGGAAAAGGAATTTTGGTAGACGTGTGTATCACTGACTTTTTCTTTTTTGTCTTTAGACTATGTTTTTATGACTTAAAGAGTTAAAAAGAATGTGTCAAGTATTAATCAAGGGAGGACCTACCTTAAATAAAAAAGAAATACAATGATTCTTTAAAGCAAATCATTAAACAAACTGAAATGATTAAATAAAAGAATCACATAAAACTGTGTTACAGAAATGAAGCTTCACTGATCATGTGAGATGTACTGTACAGATACTCTGTGATCTTTTTCACTTACCTGGAGCATTGTGGTGCCTAGTTGAGCAGGAGACATGCTCACATGAACACCTGCAGATTTCAGGGACTCAATTTTCTCTTCTGCACCTCCCTTGCCCCCGGCAATGATAGCTCCTGCATGACCCATGCGACGGCCAGGTGGCGCTGTCAGGCCAGCGATAAAAGACACTACGGGCTTAGCGTTGGGTCCCTGAAAATTAATACATGCAGATAAAAGATACTACTGGCTTAGCATTGGGTCCCTGAAAACTAATACATGTAGTGATTTTTTTCACTTCATACCAACATACTGCCAACTTTTTGAAATTTCTATGGGGGAGATTCTGCACACTCAAAATTAAAACCTAAATAAAATATGTGTATACATCCCCTTTAGACAAAATAACCCTTTAAAAGACAGTTTGATTTGTTCTTTTAGATGAAATTATCTTAGAATATAGGAAAATAGTTTAGCAAATTCATTGGTTGAAAATGCTAAATTTAAGGGTTCAAAATCGAGGGTCTCCCTCCTAAATAGGAAGAGTTGGCAAGTATGTACCAATACTGCATAGTACCATAGATTGATATATCAGGACCTGTGTAACAAAATGGCAATTAACAATAAAAGTAAAGAATTACTAAGGTATTTTACTATTTATTGAATCAATCAGTTGAATACCTTCAAGAAAGCAGTGTGTTGTTTAAGGTAAATGGCAGGGAATGAAAGGCCGAGATGTGTGTTTAGTGATCAGCTGTCGGGGAAACATAAAACATCTAGGCTGCATTTCTTTGTCACAATCCAAACGGTTGAACCGTTTGGACCAGAGTTGTTCATTTATGAAATAATGTTGTACCTAGTAATCTGATACTGCTTTCAGACAAACCTTGGCAAAGCCTTGCAAGGCCTGTATAAATATTTGCAGGTCTGCCTGGATTTATACTGAAAAATGTTACATTTAAAAACAGACAGACGGGCTGAGCCTGGTATGCACAAGGGGTCCTATTGTTATGATGGTCTTCAGGAACATACATTCGTCATCTGCTCAGACAGGACAAGTAATATGAGTAGGCAGAGGCAAATCTACTGTAAACAAAGGAGATTATAGTGTTACATTGGGGGTAGTTTATGCAGCGATTCCAGTGATACTTCATTACGTTGTCCAGGGCATGTCAGTATTTTAAACATGTTCAAGTGGTTGATAAAAACCAATGACTGTGTGTTTTGGGGGAAGTATAAGAATAGTTTCAAGACGTGTGGAAAATGAGTGAAACAGATAGGGTCAGCCACTAATAGGAGCACGGCTCTGGCTCAGGACCTTTTCCTTAGTTGTTTTATTGGAACTGTGTTGATGAGTGACACCGGGATGTTACATAGCCGCCAAGGCCATAGATACACCTGGCATTACAAATGAACAGCATGACCATACTTGCCAACTCTGCCTATTTAGGATAGAGACTCCTGATTTTGGACCGTTAAATTTAGTATTTTTAGGCAGTGAGCTTGCTAAACTATTCCTGTATTCTAAGATCTTATGATTTCACAAGAACAACTCAAATACGTAATTTTTAAGGGCTATTCTGTCTCTAGGGGGAAAATACATACATTTCATTTATGTTTTAATTTTGAGCATGCAGAATCTCCCCCAATGGAAATTTCAAAAAGTTAGCAAGTATGCATGACTGAGCGTTACAACTATCACAATGCATTCATCAGGATTGTCTAACAACTTTTACCTCAGTACATCATATTTGCCTAGGACTGTCGTACTTCATAAGTGATGTTCTATTAACAAAATAATTCCAAACAGGCATCATCCCTGCTGGAAGCCAGATGTATACAATATAGTCATGAGGGAAGGTTTATGTTAGATGACATAAGTGTGTGTTAAGATAGTTTGTCACATAGGCCAGAACATGTATAACATCTCATGGTGTTCATCATGACACCACAATGAGGCCAATAGGAATTTTTGTTTTTTTAATACAGTAAATCTTTTTTTTTCATGAGAGCAAAAAATATTTCTTAAATATGATCATTCTTCAAACAACGTTTTCACAATAATTTGTAATTGTAAAAAGAAAAAGTTCAGTCTAAAAAGTTTCAAAATAAATATGGTGGACATTTTTAACTTCATGCAATAGACCCTCTTTGTGATTCAACACCTATTATAAACTATCTTGTGAAAAAAAAAGAGTAATTTCAGTAGATGTAATAATTACACACCACGTATACCTACAGAGTAGAAATTGTACTCTATGCAAATACTTACAGAATTGAAGTTTTTAAGATATTCAGCTGCCTTTTCTTCTGCCTGGCCTCCAATCTCACCAATCAGCACAATACCTGGATAATACATAAAGGGAAACAACTTATACAAAGCACTGGAAATTTGTATCCAAGTTTCTGAAGAGAAAACTCTTCAGAGCCGGAGGTCTTGTCCAATAAGACATGGTTGAGGTACTGATGTACTGAATATGTTTTACATTTCAGAAAATCAGGGGTCGACACTAACACTAGTCTGCTAGTCCTGGACTAGTAGATTTCCGCAAAGACTAGTGATTCACCTAACCTTACTGGTCCTTTGGACTTGTGAAAAATATGATTATACAATAAATATGTACATTTTTAAAATTTAGAAAGCTGCTTAAAATAAGATATATTGCATGATAATTGTCAAATTTTCCAAAAACTATTTTTATGGCAGTAGTTATTTTAAGTCCCCCACAGTCGATTACTTACAATGTTTCGTGCTGTTGATCGTGATGATTCCTTATCAGGAAATCTTTGACTAGTTACATTAACTAGTACATAATCTATTCAACATGTCCTGTGGACTACCAAGCAAAAATAGTTACTGTCTAACCCTAGAGATTTATGTTTTTTGGAAGTTGAATTACAGGGTTATTCTATAATTGATGGACTATAATAATTAATTTTATTGGGGGAATTAGAGACACCTGTCTAACCCTATTAACGTCATGTACACCCCACTTTATACATCTATATATTTATATGCATATGGCTATAAATGCCTTTTTTACCAGATGAAAACATTCTGATTTGTATGCCTTGTTTATTTACTATATTGACAACTGTCACTGTAGGAATACTGTACTAATATTGATGTGATTTAAAGCGCATTACAGTAACTTTGAAAATTATATAGGGCACTATACAAATGCTGTATATTTTTTATTTATTATCATATTTTTCTGACAACAAGCTCATGCCCGGTAATAAGCCCACCCATATCTACCTACTTTATATCAGAGACAGTGTACATGTGTTGGCCCTTTAGACTTCTTACAGGATCAACACAGTAATATATTCTATGCAGCAAAACTAAATTCAGGTCTAACAAGCATATACATGTATACTTAATCATCAAATAAATCAGTTTCAATATTTTTTGGGCGGTTGACCTCTAAAAGAGTGTATCGCCCCCCCTCTTCCATATGAATTGAATTAAGGAACAACCCTTATGTAAAGTGTCCACTCATTTGTATGTACCTTCTGTGGCAGGGTCATTCAGGAAGACTTCGAGGCAGTCAATGAAATTTGTACCATTAAATGGATCACCACCAATACCAACACACAGCGTTTGGCCTAGTCCAGCTTGAGTGGTCTGGTGCACGGCCTCGTAGGTAAGAGTGCCTGAACGCGACACAATACCTACAACACAGACAGCAAAGTCAATCATCTTCACATCAAAACATAACATTTAATGTTAAGGGGATATTGGATAAGGAAGTAAGGTTGTCAACCCTTAAATTCTGGCATCTGCATTCTGGAACAGTCTCTAGTTTGCCCCTGGCATCTGGAAATACTATTTAAGTTCTAAACAAAAAATACTTAAATTATACTGTCAAAACAGCTTACCATATACCACATCTATGCATACAGATAACTTTGTCTAAATTGCCAAAAATCTGATGTACGATAAGGGGGTTGGAAACGCCTTTTTGATACGACAACAAACCTTTAAACTTGCCTAAAACAAAAACCATTCATTTCGAATGGACAAGTTTTTGTAATTGCTAACAAAATGTAAACAGTGACACTAATCAAAGTCTGGTCTATGTAAAGCTCTGTTTCAGCAGGTTACACTGTACACTACACATGTATTACTATTAGACAATTGCTAATACAACAGGAAACTATAATTATGTCAGTGTGACATTAAGCCGCTCACCACTTTAAATTTAATTGCTTCAGTAACACGTTGAGCATCAATATCTACCATAATACCTCAGACATGTGTTCTGTATTCTGCTTATTGAAAATCAGGTCATGTGATGATGGTGTCTTTGGAATTTCCAAAATCAATCACCACTTAAATGATGCGTTAAAAACATTTCTCACTCTCCTCTTTTTTCACCCTCTCTTGTGACGCATACCATTGTTGTAATTTTCATTAATAAGCATCCTCTAATGATGTGACATGACCATTTACATGCAGAATGGCAATCGGTGAATGAGAAATAAAGAATAGGTGCATTTTGTGCTTGTGAAATGAAGGATAATTAACAGTAGTGGGAAAACATGCATGGAGAAAAGAGGCATTGTACTCCTTTTATTTTTTATTATTTTTTTATTCATATTAATAATAATTATTAATATATGTAGTGACTTTATTTACTGTCATTGAATAAACAATTGATCACAAAATCTCACAATTGTTCTTGGAATATATTTAACTTATATTTCTCAATGCGACTTATTTCCCTTACACCGGATTGGATAATATTTTGATGGCGCAAATTCTTGTCAAACAGCAGCAGCAGTTGTGTCATGTTCTTAAATTGTTACATTTTCATAAATAAATACACCAGAAAAAGCATGCTGTGTTACAGAAATGTTTGATAAGCATACACAGTTTACATATCGTCTCGTCTCAAGAGCCACATCCGTGGTAGCCATGTTGGTTTTTTACTGTTATCAGCCTAAGCACGATATGTCATATTACGTTCCCGTTTGAAACATCAAAATAGAGGTTATACTTCATCACTCAAACGGTTTATAAGTATATTTATTTACTTCTTCCTTGTACATACAGACATTCTTCACATGTGCTTTCTCGAACCAGAGTCACGAAAACAAACACTCCTCAGATCTCAATCCGAGTTGCTAAAACGCTCAAACCCAGTGCACAAATTTCACCACCACAACACTCGTAGAATGCACCGGAGTTAAACATTTTGTTTGGAGAAGAGTATCAGAAGACTTAATGTAACCCACAGGTGAGTGTCAGAGATTCTACTTTCTATTTACGATAACGTAACTTTATAGCGGAAGCATGCAAGACTAAATTATGCGCAAGCACCCTGAACAGAAGTGGGTCCGTCATTTCGTTCTCTGGACAGAATCAATAAGCCGCTCAGCTCTCTCGCCAAGAGCGGCTTAAAAAGGTTCAAAATATTAAAATTAACTCCAGTATATAATATGTACTGAAATCTTTAAAATCATTTGGATACATATTCAGAAAACTCCCCCTTAGATTAATTGATTGTATGCATGACTGACCTATTTTTCCTTTTTGATGAATGTGACCTGGCATAATTCCTATTTTACACTCGCCAGGCCTAATTATTCCAGGACAGTTTGGGCCGATGAGACGAGATTTATTCTGGCGTAGAAGTTTGTGTTTTACCCGGACCATGTCTTGTTGTGGGATACCTTCTGTGATACAGACAATGAGAGGAACCTCAGCATCTATAGCATCCACCAGGGCCTGGCCGGCCATTTTGGGAGGCACATACACTACTGAAGCATCAGCATTAGTTGCTTCCATCGCCTGCAATATGAGATGGATTCAAAAATGCATTTTTTTCGTACTTAAAATCACATAGGCGAATAAATTTATGTCTTGTTTATCCAGTGAATTTTATTAATTAGACATGAGGAAGGGAGTTTTTTTTTCACTCTTTATTGTACTAAATTTGTCTATATTGTCTTTTGAAATAAAGAAATTTTACCCTGGATTAATAACAAATTTAGCACATGTATTGTAGAGACAGGACAGATACCAATGCAAATAAATTAAATATACAGGCAAACAACCTACATATTTTCTGTCATCATTTATGTTTGATTTACTACCTTGATCGAGTTTGCAGTGCAAACTTGATATAGTTTGAAACTGTCATTTTTAACAAGAATGCCATATTACCTCTTTTGTAGAGTTAAATACCGGTAATCCCAGATGGATTTGGCCCCCTTTACCAGGTGAGACACCACCAACCATTTGTGTTCCATATTCTATAGCTTGCTGACTATGAAAAGTACCCTGAAAAACAAACAGCAAGAAGTATTTTACTAAAAAAAAATGTTGATGCCAAAAGATTTGTTTAACATATGATTAAACCAGTAAGCTTCTTTGATGTAACCGAATATAAGAGGCTCAGATGGCCTGTATCGCTTACCTAGATACGCCAAGTGATCATAGTGAAAGTTATATATTTGCAAATATTTCTATATTTTGTGATACCATCTTAACACCCAGAGAGTCAACATCCTTTCGTTACATTTGTTTACATGCTCTGAAAAGCCTAGGAGCTGGTAACCAGTCTACCAGGGGAGCTACAATTAAGCTTCCTTTACACAACAATTGTTCCACAGATTTTAAGAGGATGTTCATTGCAAAGTTGGATGCAATCTGCATATATATTTGATACGTGATTATAGGATGGAGATTTCAAACTTGTATTTGCTATGACCCTGGGACTATATAACCAGTCCTATGGAGCTGGCAGGACCCAGGAGTGTTCACTTCTCCGTGCCCATGGCAGCTAGTAAGCACACATGTAGCTATAGGTTAAGGATCTCAACAGTTTTCAAGTTATTACCAAATGCCTGGTACCCAGGGGCAGTGTCTGACCATTGGGGCATTCAAAGTAGGATGGGTGTATCAATCTCTTCATGCCTAGCAATTTTAATGCTTTCAATTCTTACCTGTTTCCCTGTAAATCCCTGACATATGACTTTCGTGTTTTTGTTGATGGCCAAATTGCCTCTTGTGCCAGTGTAACAGTGTCTTATACCAACCCTGGCAGCAACTGAAAGAACAAGAAATCCTCAGTAATTATATTTAATTATCACAACACATCATGTATAATTATTGAACAGAGGTAATTATGTTTACGAGTGTAGTGGTTGGACCCTGGACCACTGGTTAACTTCAGATAATATGATGCTCGGTTGAATAAGCTTCAGGAGAACTCTCACTAGCCAACCGAAGTCAGTAAGAATGTCAAAGTGGCTACTACCGGTATTTCCCCCCCCCCCCCCCCCGTTTTCCTCCACCATGAAAACAACATTGTTCCCTTAGCAGCGTTGTAAATAAAGATTATTTATTATTTATTTACCATGAACCCCTCAGACTTTAATTTCTGTACTTACAGGCTATGGGCATGACAACATGAAAATAGATTGTGGATTTAATATACTCCCCTACCCCTGTATTTCTTTGTATTTTGTCAAAAAGTTTGTCAAACATATAAACGTGAGAATAACAAGGTCTGGGTAATAATACAAATTACTTTTTATGAAAAAAATATTAGTTTGTAGTTATCCGGATCCGGGGATTGAAATGTAATACAGGACGTCTATCTTCACTTCAATTTTTATTGATTAAAATTATTCTGAATTGAAGATCGGCCACGTGCAAATTGTAGGAGAGTTTCGCCATAGTTAACAGATTACCACATATTTGCCAAACACATCGTACTGAAGTTGTATATAGGTCATGCAAGATAAGTTTGACCGGTGTCTGCTGTAGGTCAAATGTGAACACATGGAATTGATGGCAAATGGCGTGTACTGGGACTTTATGCTCTATTGTTGCATTAACGGATGGAGAGTGACAAGTGGCTATATTGAGATTCAGTGTAATAAGCCACTATATTTCAAGTTTAAAAGCCAAACGATATAACCTTACCCACTATTGGGCTAAACACTCTGCTGGTCGCCGCCATGTTGAAACGGTGTGACTAGTGTAATTTGAAGATATTTTTTCGGACATTATTTTCCGGAAATCTCGCGCCTTCTATAAAAACGTTCAATAACTGTCTTAAACGAATGTATAGTATCAGGGAAAGGGTTAGTAAAACTTACTAATCAGTTTTACTTAAGGAACTCTACTTATTTTACCACGGACATAACATTAACACACATGATACGTAACGTGTTATATAACGTTAACTTATATACGAAATCGTGGTTGCGGAAACCAATGACACAAGGATAATATGTATATTTTATTTTACAAAATAGTTAATTGGGGTCTTAGTGCACAGACAAGGAATTATATAGATCCGTGAGTTTAAGTAAGTATCCAGTTTGGAGTGAGCTGTACTCAACTTGAGACCGGTGTAAGGTTCCTAATGACTGGTAAGGGTAGGCCTAGCTACTCACACCTCCTAAATCTATATACTGGATACTTCTAAACATTTTCTTCAGGTTGGTAAGTAGGGATTATGAAAAGTTCTCTTTTACACAACCAATACAATTTTCTATGTGACGTTTCGATGATTAGTACGATATGTACACTGTCACCTTCATCAGACAAATGACCAGTAAAGCGCACAATAATTTATTTTACAAATATCAATCAGGGTTCTTACCAGGCCACTCCACCGTATTCCAACTTTTGGAAATCTACCATAGTATTGTCTCTGCTCTGGACAACCAACAAGACTGTTGTATAGTCTTTTGTGATCTATCCAAAGCTTTTGATAGGGTATGGCATATGAAATTGTTGTACAAATTAGAAAAGGTAATATTTTGAATTGGTTAAAAAGTTACTTATTAGATGGAAAACATTGTTAACAGATCCTGTCAATCAAACTCATTAACCTATCAGCAGGAGTGCCCAGGGATCAGTACTGGGTCCTCTCTTATTTCTTATATAGCTGAAAATATGATAAATATAAGCAGATTATTCGCTGATGACACATCCTTGGGTAAATCATCTGCAACCACCGGAGAGATGGAAACTTGTATAAATCATGATCTATCTATTTTGGAAAATTGGTCAAAGAAATGGTTAATGAAATTCAATGCAGAAAAAACAAATATGATCTTTATTTCAAAAAGACGAAATACTAAATTACCTGATATTGTATTTCAAAACATTACTTTAACATTCGTTCAACATCATAATCATTTAGGTCTTAATTTCTCCAGTGATGGCAGATGACCGGTCATACCATATTGACTGTATTGCCAAGTCAGCATACACAAAACTAGTATTACTCAAAAAACTTAAATATTCAGTGCCTAGATATTCTTTATCTGTTCTTTATAAAACATCTATTCGTCCCTTATTGGAGTACGCATCGGTAGTCGGACTGGGATGGGTGTTCTCAACAAGACTCTGAAAAACTTGAAAGAGTTCAATTACTTGCAGCTCGAGTAGTTACCGGCCTACCTGTATACGCATCAAGAGAATCGCTTTACTTTGAGACGGGATGGGAACTCTTATCCGAACGACGTAAACATATTAAGCTATCAACCCCTTTCAAAATAAAAAACGATATGACACCAAATTATCTGGTAGAAATCCTTCCTAGCCTCCGTTCTGAAACATCAGCACATGCTACTCGTAACTACAACAATTACATCATGTTCGAAGAATTAAATTTTCTTTATCTGTGTGAAAACCTCGGTTAATTCTTTATGAGTAGGTCGGGGTACGGAGAAACAGTCGTCAGCAATCTATTTTGTTAATTCAACTTAAATTTAAAAAAAAAATGAAATGTACATGTTAAGACAGCTATGATGAACGTAAAATGTATTTAAGTTAGGAGAGGGCTTAATTAAGTTGTAAGAACTTGTGCCCAATCCTTTTTGTCAGTTTCAAGGCAATACAAATATGTTTAAACCAAAGCGCACACAAAGGTGTAAGATGTGTACGAGTTGTCTACGGCTACGCTGTATACTGGATTATGATGAATTGGCTGTATAAAGCCCACCCTCATATAAAGCCCACCTCATATAAAGCCCACCCTCATATAAAATCCATTGTAGGATGAGTGTAATAGGGATGTTGGGTATATTTTATCATAAAAAAGTATTAAACAAACATACAATATTTGGTTGAAAAGTGAGCAATATTGCATAGTTTAACCAGGGATGTGTAGTTTCCCTGGTTTAACAAGGTCAGGTGTGAATATCCTTTATTTTGGTGCTAATTTTTTCTTGCAACATTAAAGTGAATATCCTTTATACTGTAACAATTTTTTTTTTGATGCAATATGCCTTTTTCCATACATCAGAGTGGCCAGATGACTCGGGGACATTGTGAGAATATAACGGACGGTACTTTTGTGGCGTCATATCTGGCCTTTTCCATCATATATTTTGGCACATTGCATCTTTTAATTTAATTTTGGTATATCTCATAAACTGCCAAAACCATATTTCTCCGTCTTTTGCCTGTTGGATTAGGACAACAATTTAGTTCTCTGTCCAGTATTTTATCAACCTAAAGTCAAAATTCGGGTCAAAGTGGAAGATGATCATGTTTCTCCCGCCATGGACTTTAAATGATTCAAATTCCGTGATCCCACTTTCCCTCAATTTGTGCCCAAACTAGTTTTTTTTAAGAAAATTAAAATAAATGAATTACCCCCCAAATCATAACAATTTATTGATTAATCCCACTCGTGAATTAAAAAAAAGCAAAATGGATTAAGGAAAGTACAAGGCAAAGAAAGGTTTTTCAATTAATTTTGTGCAACATGACATGGTTCAGACCTCCTGCATCACAAAATATACTGCCGGGTAGTTTGGAATGGTGACACCCTTCATGGAAAAAATCTGGATCCGCTTTGCATGTGTTGCTTTATATGTCTCTGCCAGTGTACTGTATACTATATTTTTATTTGGGAATTAACACTCACACCGCCGCCGTCGTTCTCCAGGCGTAACATTTTAGAAATGTGCCGCCATTAATGAACGCTTAACTGAAAACTTCCTGAAAAATACGAAATTCGGCGTAACGAAAGTCTAGTCTGGTCCTTCCACAAGCAAAATTAAGTTGGAAAACTAATTATAACATAAAAATGATAAAGAAAAGCGTATACAAATCAAAGGCAGAGACGATACGTCTGTGTCAAAGGTAAAGACAAATACCGATTGCCATTTTTACTCTTTATCTTATTTTTTCAATATCTCATTAATCGAGAAAATATTTTACATTAAGAATACAGAACCTTTACATGTGTTTATTGATTCAACTGAATTTGGTTCTTCAGTGTCAATATTTTTTGGAATGGATGATCCGGATAAAACCATATCCGTAGTTGGACTTTATTTTACTAAACCTCAAAAATTATAATGTCAGCCAATGAGATAAGACGCAAATTGCCCGGATGTGTACATTACAACATTAATGGCTGTTCATCTCAACAGGTTTGTTCGGTGATAAGCTTAACGACTGTATCGCTATCTTTATATGAATTTGGACAGCTGCTTGATTTTATTTAATTTCAGTTAATTCCCAAATGAAATCAGGTTAATTTCAAGTCACAAATGATGTGAATGATACCGAACGTATACGAAGCGACAGAGACAGTCACAGCGGCATATAAAGAATGACTGGCTGATTTTAACCACAGGAGTCTGACGTTTAATCAATATAAGTATAACAATCTCATTCTGTGTATATAAAAAATAGAATACGGGGTATTATCTTTTATATACTGATTGTTATACTTATGTTGATTAAACGTCAGACTCCTGTGCTTTTTAAAACAGAAAGTTTACTACTGCTTTTAGATTATAACAAGGCTTGGCATTGAATTTTTTTTTGTAATAATTCTCTCGTTGTTGTCCCTCAAAGCTCGCGTGATCAGAATGTGAACGAAAAATCCTTCCAATTGTATTGTGTATTGCAGTCACCCTTATGAGTGCCCAGGGAAAGAATGAGTGTTCTCACTGACTTGACACTCACTAGGATATCTTTACCTTCCCTGTGCACTCATTAGGGTCATCCGTGTAATGTACAGGGACTTAGGCAAATTCGTAGCCAGAAAGAACGGAAAACGCATTCACCTTCGTACATTTGTGGTTAGTACACGGATGCAATCAGCGTGATATACAATAGGACGCTGCTGATTACTGTCTACTGACCAGAACCAGATACTATAGCCGCGTCTGTCAAAACAACCAGAACATAATAGAATATCGTATTGACAGACAAGACTAGTGTCTATGGTTGGTAGAGCTCCACTAATCTGTCCAGTATACATTTTATTAAGAAAATATGTCACAAATTAAAAAGTCCTCTACCAGCTGTGTAGTATATGGTTGTCTACTTGCATTATCAATCAATAATATACATGAGAATGAGTATCATCAGTACTTTTTGAAGAACTTTAATATGCTAATGTACTTAATTGTGCGAAGAACATTTTTGTAAATGTTTATATTATATCTGTCACTAAATGCCAACACTCATACTGAAGCTGGATCAGAAATTCATAATTAAATATTTAATGTGTGTTTTTTCCCCTTTAATGCAGATATGACATGTGCCTGATGATGAAATCACACTGACAGAAGTTCAGTAGGTTTTGAAAGGGAATAATCATGACACAAGTAAGATATACAAGTTTCTGTGTGTTTGATAGGATGTTAATGTTTCTGTGTGTGTGTGCATCTGTAAGCATATGTAAGATGTACATTGTTTGTGTACCCTGGCTTATGACATGTGCGAACACTACAAAAATCTGATTGAAGAATGCACAAAAATTGAAATTATGGTCACTTTGACTTCAAAAGAATGATCAACTTAAGATTAAAAGTCACTATACGTTTGTGTGTAATTAACGTGTAGGAAGTAAAAGTTTTTGTACTCTTTTTGTAAACTATACATGGTTCAGTTAATACATTCAAATTACAAAGTTTCAATACTTACAAGTAAATTTTGAAGTATATAACGTGTTATCAAACATGTCTAAATTAAAATAGATGATTTTTTGTTAGTGCTCTAACGTTAACCCTTGCAAAAATGTAATTTTGATTCATTTTTTATTTGATTTGCTTCAAAATGATAAGGTTTAAAAGTTATGGGTGTTTATATTATCTTGTCCATAGTTATTATTACAGTTTTTTTTTTTTTCAATGAAATGTTGTTACCTTATGTATTATAAATTTTATGATTCAATCAAAAAGAAATGTGATGTCACACTTAATGTCTGTATGTACAATGTACTTGGTTTGTGACATCATAATTCAGTGTTAATACTTTAAATTTCACTGATTTAAAAACAGTAATATACCTGCAAAATATTTCTTTTAATTTCCTACTTGTAAAATTATGTCTTCTGCCGTGTATACAAAAGAGTAATGTTCATTTTAATTTTGTTACTATACCAGAGTTTGTAGAGACTAGGAGGTGCCATGGATGACTAACAATTGATCACATAAGTTAATCCATTTTATGATTTTCAAATGATGTGTTAACCTTTTTTTTAAAACTTTTTTTGACTTTTTTTTTATAGCATTAAATTAATGCAATTTATTATCTTTTTGTTGTTGTTGCAATAGCTGTATGTAATTTGATATCGATAAATATGAAAAGTTATACAGTCTGCGAACCTCTAGATATACAGTATATACAGTGTACATGTGTAATTAATTGTATAAATTTTAAACTCAACTGGCCAACATTTAAAATTCTACTAGCAATATTCCAATATATGAAAGTAAAATTTAACACAACATTTATAAATACATGAATATATTTTCAGAATCACAAGATGGATGACCTGACAAGGTTAGGGACAACAAACTGTGTCAAAGTCTTTGTCCAGAGGGATTTCAGTGATGGCACTTCCATTAAATTCCACACCAAGTTTCCTCCTGAATTGGATGGCAAGGTATCAAAAACATGTGTAATATATGTAAAAATATATGTTAATAATATTAAGATTTCTTCCTTTTATATATGAGAAATATATTTCTTTTAATTTGTCAGTTTAACTGTTACAAAATGAAATTGCAAAATATTTAGACATTAAGAAATCATCTGACATCTTTGATCAATTGATGTATAGCTAAATGAATGTTCTGATACCTTACTTGATTCCTTTTCTGTATCAGATCGAATCAGAACAGTTTGTGAGGACTGTGACCCAACTGAATTCCATGTTTTATGAAGCTGAGAGCCTTGGAAGCAGAAACTACTGTGAAAGTTGCATGGCCTGTTTAACAGCATATATGTCATACATTTGCTTTGATACACATTATGAAAAGGTAAATAAGGCTCTTTATGTATCATGTGATGTTAGTTCAGGGGCAGAATTGAATAAAACACTAGCCAGTCTGACAGCCTGGTAGTGACCAATTTTACTACCTAGTCTCATACAAATTCCACTAACCAAATATTAGGCAACATGATAAGTAAAATCAAATTCTTACTTGTCAGTCAGGGTAGTAGGTAACCACTAGTCCAGCTGGAGATTTCACTCGTCTCAGACTAGTGGGCTGCCCTGTCGTTATTTCCAAGGGTATGCAAGTCCACTAGCCTGACACCTGGGACTTGAACATATTATGTCAGGGCTCCAAAATTAACTATTAATATAAAGGTCAGGCTAGAGTTATGTCAAACTGCCTGCAGACTTAAAGTTCTTAAAGTTTGAAATTAAAGACCCTATGTATCATTTTTGAAATGAAATATAACAATGATAAGGAGACTCAAGTACAAAGAATGGAATTCAAAGAGAACCTTTTTCACATAAAAATAATGTTAGTTTTCAGCTTTATCAATTGAATGTGTTACTCTTCAGTAGTGATTGTACACAACTGATGTTTATGTATACTTAATAATGTGATATGTCTTTTCTTTATTCAGATGTTGAAAAAAATAAAGAAATTTGTAGAAGAACAAAACCAAACTATTTACTCATCAAGAGGATTGTTACTGGTGGACCCAGTGGAAAGAGGGCTACGTGTTGTATCCTTTATATATGAGAATCCCCCCAAAATTTCAGTTGCTCAATAATGTTTAAAGTCAAATTTCCCTGAAGTCTAATATAAGGATCCCTGTCCCACCGCACTGTGGGTTTAGATGTTTTTCCTTTAGTCAGTAATTAATATATATATATATCTCCCTTTAACTTCAATTTGGGTATAACTGTAGAACAAATGGATCGGGTCTAATGTTGTGTGATGAATGCCAATGACACTTTAATTAGACATTATTTATTTCACAGATAAAATTTGAGACTGTTGTTAATTTCATTCTCATCTGTTTCATTTCATTCTGTTTTTTGGGACAGTTGATGCACATTTGCAAAATATAATTCAGGAAAAATAAGATATTTAAATCCTTCAAATTCATGTTTTTATTACCACTTGCACCTGAATCAATCATTCCCCCTCTGGACTTATCTTTGTCATAAATATATGTTTACATTCCCTTAACTGCCAAACAGCTTGAAATTTGTGTACTTAATGAAAGCAATGGAAGAGGATGAAAATCAAAGATGATGCATCATGAAGGGAAGACTTATTTCGTTTCACCAGCAAATTTAAAGTTATTGAGAGGAAGGACAATTGTGACATATAAAAAAGCACTGCGATAGTAATGATTGAAGTCTATGTCAAGTAGTTTCTTTTATCACTATTTTGTTTTAACTACTCGGTACATTGTAGAATTCTGGATATAATCAGCTTAGGTTAGTACTATAAAACATCTGTGAATCAGGGTTGTATAATTCCCTACAATAACCTACATTTCAGTATCCAATTTCACTATGCGTTCTTGCTGTAAAGAGCTTGAAATATCTTGACATTTGCAAGAGAGTCGGGATTTGATAATTAAAACATTTGAAGCTGTCTTTCTTTCCCATATCGTAATGATTCTAGTACAAGACACTTCTGAGATGTACATTATTTGTAGATAGATTTTTATTCAGCAGTTACGTTGAAATACATCGTATATGTATAAAACACAATATCTCAATAACATAAAAACCTTTTTAATAAATTTATAAGCATGTATTGTATTTTGCATGCCATACATGGTTGCACATGTATTTCTATAATCTAATACATTTTGGCACTGTTGACACTGACTACTGGTGCCATAATACATTATTTACACAAAGAAAATTATAAAAGGATATAATGATGTATTACAGGTCTCTGCTTGTACATATATGAATATTATAGCCCTGCTCATTGTACAGTTTACTTCACAGTACTGTACACTGCTTGTGCTGTACATATTAGACACTTGTACAAGATTACCAAACACCACTGTAGACAATAATGGAATCATCAAGATCAATGTATGGTTCAGTCTACAAAAGGCGCATAGGGATGAAAGGTTTATTATTTTTTGAATAGAAAACATGTCGTCAAATCACTTCATAAATATGTAGTTAAAAAGGTGAAAATATATGAAACAAATACAAAGTTTGATGGTAGTTACCCGTTAATCCATGGAAACATGTAATGTTTCACAGGTAATTATCTATTTATATCCATGAAAACAAATGTTGCAGGTACATTAATATTGTAGTTGTCGAATTGTTATGTGATAGACAATAATAAAATTTGTGATATGATGCTTATTGTATAACTTTCCTTTGTTATATGTACTTGTGCTATATATATATATTATTACTTTGAGGCATGTTATTGCTACAACATTGCATGTACTTGGATCAGCATACATTTCAACATTGTTATCATTTGTGTATCAGGAAAACTATTCCGAATTATTCTGACGTTTTATCGACTTTTTTCATAATGGTCTGTCGTCGATTACCCGACGACAGACCGATATGAAAAAAGTCGATAAAACGTCAGAATAATTCGGACTACAGGAAAACCAACCCTGAAAACTTATTGCTGTTGTGTAGTTTTAGGAGATATTTCACTCTAATCTGAGTGATCAGATCACCATTTTATTTTATGGTAAACAATTTCAAATTTACTGCTGTCTGCAATAAAGGAGACAGCTTTAATTTATAACTTTTGGTTGCTAAATTATTCCATTTCATGATCATGAAGGTGTTAAACCTATTGACAATGTCTATAGAAACATTTGGTCTGTGTAGATTTATTTGTCTCTAACAAGATGGGGTTTATTTTCAGTAATTATCTTAGCTGCTTAAAATAACTCCACATTTACCAGTGGGGCAATATTTTGTGAAATCGATAGTGAAGTAGTGATGTTATGTAATCTAATATTAAAACCAAAAATGACTCTAGAAGTTTAACTCTAGATGGTGTTGTACTGGAAGTCTAATGCTAACAAGATTAGATATATGGTGAACATTACTTATACTTTAAGACTTTGTAGAAGTTCAAAGAAACAAATTTTAAAAAAGTCGACTTGTTTATAAATCACCACAAAGACTTTAAATAAATGTACCTAAATCAGCTATTATGGGCATATGTTTACTGTATACAAACTTGCAAATTGTGAATTTGCTGTTGTGTTCTTGTGTAGTGTTGTTGTTGACCCTGCCTTTATATTGAGAGTTCATTGCTGAGGGTTTCAAACAAGAGCTGAAAGGTTAGGACTACACAGATCTTTGGAAATGACAGTTCAATGTACCCTTAAAGCTATATAGGTATGTCCAGAAATTTACAGTATACATATTTTCATTTAATTTGTGGTAAACAATTAGGGTTTGCAGTGATCATGTCATTCCAGTTATGTAATTGTAACATTTATATTATACAGTACTTGCTAATTAAAGGATGTATAGAAGTCTGTATTACAAAAAAATACCAAACTTCTGAATGATTTATTTTCACCTACTCCCAGATACATTCTGTGGTTAAATTGAAGAGTTTTATAAATCTTGTACCAAAACGAAACAAATTCAATATACTGTTTATCACATTACAGTGTATCAGAAGTTTGTGTGAGTATCCATGAAAAAGATTCTCCCTGACCACCATTACCTCTTCAATTACATCATGTTTTAAGATATCGTACTTATTATTTTCAATGCTATGTCGCAATGCTCTGATGTTATATCCAACATCTTTATTCTGTCATCATATTCGGTGATTTCACATAGGTGATATGTGAAACCATACAATATTTGGTGCATAGCCGGTTAGTCGACTCATGATAATATGTCAAGATATGCTGGTTTCACTTTTATATTGGTCAGAGTTTAAGTTGAAATATGCTTATAGGCCGATTTTGTTAATGAAACATAGCAAAAAATGGCCTCTCCTACCCACCAGTATATCTCAATTTATATTCTAAACAATATCAACAAGACCCTATGAAGTAAACATTATATTATTAATACATTGCCTGGCTCCTTAGATTAATTGGTAATCGGTTATCAAGGTCATGCCTAAAAGCTGTTAGTAATAAGTTGCTTGACATGATTAATTTCATTATTTATAACTCTATAATTATATCCATGGTCATATGATATTAATTGAATGAATATTATTAATCTAGATTTGATCAATTATTTGGATAAGATAATCACTTCAATATTTCAACATGTTTTATCAAATTTTTTACATCTTCCAATATTAAATCGATCACATGTAAAGTTTTGAATTGAATGTGGTATCTTATTTTCATTATTTAAATTTACAAGACATTATTTCTTCAATGGTCACAACAAAAGAATTGAAATAATTTAGCTTGGTTTGACAGAGGCAAACTATGATACTTATAGTTGGAGAAAAACAAATAAATTCATGATGAGGTGTCTTCTATTTCCAGGTGAAATTATAGAAATATTTCATGAAACATAATCTAGAGAAAAATATGTAATTTATTGAATGTAAATGTGCTTGTGATGATGACATGCTATGTTGAACACCTTGTGACTAGTACCATTGATGAAGGACTCTCATTCTCGTGTTGAATTAATATACATGTATCATTGTATCTACTTGTGATGTTGTTTTTGTAATATAATAATCGTGAGATTAATCAAACTAGTCTGTCTTCTTTTTCAATGAGAGTTAAATGCATCGAGCTTACTGATTTTTTGTTTCATTGATTTTTAGCTCACCTGGTCCGAAGGACCATGGTGAGCTTATGCCATACCGCAGCGTCCGTTGTACGTCGTCTTGCGTCCGTCGTACGTCGTCTTTCGTTCGTCATCTTGCGTCCGTCGTCTGTCAACTTTACACTACTTGTCATGAACCACTGAGCGAATTTTAACAAAACTTGGTGTGGAGCATCCTTGGGTAAAGGGAAACCAATTTTATATAAATGATATGTCTGGCCCCCCTGGGGGCTGAGGGGCAGGGCCCAATAGGAGAAATATAGCAATTTTTTTAAAATCCTTCTTCTGTATGAATGGGAAGATTTGTTCCATATTTGGTCTGAGGCATCCTAGGGTGAAGGGGATCCAATTTTGTATAAACGGTGGGTGTGGCCTTCCTGGTACCTGCGGGGCGGGGCCCAATAGGAGAAATAGAGGTTAAACCTTTAAAATCCTTCTTTGACCATCAGGATTAAGGGATTTTATCGTTATTTAGTCTGGAGCATCCTTGGGCCAAGGGGACTCAATTTTGTATAATTGATGGGTATGACCGGCATAGGGGTGGGGCTCTGTTTGAAGTTTGTTCTCGCTATATCTCGAGTACTGGATGGATCTTTCTTAAATTTCATATGACAGCACCTACCATGGAGTGCTATATCTTTACTTCATACCAATTATTTTAAACATATTCAGGTGAGCGATACAGGCCCTCTGGGCCTCTTGTTTACTCATCTCGCTCAGAGGGCCAAGTGGGTTATGTCATGGCACAGGGCAGTTATATTTGAAACACAGATATTTGAGTCCTGGGCCCGTATTCACGAAACCGTTCTCATGCTCAAGCATGGATTTTGTGCTCAAGCTTAATTTATTGTTCTGGTTATGAATTCATAAACAAATCTTCTTTTGCCAAAGGTTTGATTTTTTTTTTTAAGAAACTTTAACCTGAATACTGTTTTCAATGTTTACATTTGACATTTAACTTGTTTGACTTGATTTAGGTGAGTAACAAGAAAGCTGGTTTGAGCACAGAATCCATGCATGAGATCTGTTTTATGAATACGGGCCCTGGACTTGTCTGAAATAATTCTACAACAATAGCTGTCTGTCTTTAATCAACGTTGCCTTAAAAAACCTACTGGCATGGAGTGCCATATATGAACCAAGGGAATTCGTTGTTTTAAAGGTATATTGTCAGCGTAGTCTGACTCACTCTGGGGCATAGAGGGTGGGGCTAGATGGGGATAAATATTGAAAAAATTGATTCTACATACAACTTCAATGATTTTAACCTTATTTGGTGTGGATCATTCAGAGTGAATGGAATATGATTTGACTATCAGATTAAATGACATGTGAAATAATTTATTAAATCAGATTCAGTATTTCATAACTTGTACAAAACATAAGTGTACAAAATGGTGCTCGACGATGTGATCTGGACCTGATAAAAATTTCAGAATGATGAAATATTGGTATATATTCCAAATTTCCCTTAAAAACATTGAGAAAATACTAAAATAGTCAAATATTGTAGATATGGAAATCTTCAAAAAATCTTCTACACTAGATGTAACTCAAAGGGGGGCCTTTGTGAATACCCCGCTTTGATTGATCAGGAATTGGTTGGTTGGTTGGTTGATGGGTTTATAGTATAGACTCCTTTTCACAGGCGGAGCCTGTGTTCTGGCGTCTTGAGGGGGTAAGTCTCCAGCTTACCGGGCCCTCGGTGATTCAAAATGACCTTGCCCGTCCAGATCACGCCCTTAGGTCGGTCAGCTCCTTAGATGCGGATAGGCTGTCACAGTTACATAAAGCACATATACGGGAGCGTGGAACACTTCCTTTAAACAGCTTCACTGTCCTCCTATGCAGGATTTGGTGGGAGTGAAGAGTTTATATGCTGCAAGTCTCACGTTATGTAAGTCAGAGGTAGGTGACCTACATATGGTATGTGACACACCACCTTCCATGCATGTACCCACAAACCAAGATTCGTAATCGTAGTGGAAATAGTTTGGGAGATTTACTCGGGAAACCTTTCTGACGACATCATGTAGGTCAGAGGTCACGGTAGAGGTCACAGTGACCTACACATGGTACGCCACATACCACCTTCCATGCATTGTACCCACAATCCAAGATTCCTAACCATAGGTGAAATAGTACGGGAGATATGCTCCGGACACCTTTCTGACGACATAATGTAGGTCAGAGGTCACGGTAGAGGTCACAGTGACCTACATATGGTAAGTGACACATCGCCTTCGCTGCATGTACCCACAAACAAAGAATCATAACCGTAGGTGAAATACAACGGGATCAGAAATGCTCCGGACACCTTTCTGAAGACATTATGTAGGTCAGAGGTCACGGTAGAGGTCACAGTGACCTACATATGGTACACGACACACCGCCTTCCGTGCATGTACCCACAAACCAAGAACTATAGATGAAATAGTACGGGAGATATGCTCTGGAAATCTTTCAGACGGCCGCACGCAGATGGACGGACTAAGCAAACACTATATACCCCCTACTTCGTTGAAACGGGGGTAAAATAACCAAAAGGCAAAGGGTGGTGATATTTGGCCATTAGGAGTATGGAATATGAGGGCCCAGGCCACCAATTAAGTTTATTCAAACCAATGACCTTGTCCTAGTTTCAGGGTCACAGGAATCAACTTTTGTTTCAAAGTATCTTAAATTTCAAATAATTTCTTTTAAATAACCAAAATGCAAAGGATAGTTAGCCTGTTTGAAATATTTGGTCTTGGTCCTCTTTTAAGGTTCTAGAGTGAGATTTTATACCAGGTGAGCGATACGGGTCGTTTAGATTTTTGCCCAATCAATTAAAAAGTTCATATATATTTAGTAAACTGGGTGTATTTTTACACATTAAATTAAAATTTCAAGGTCCCACAAACAGATAAAGAGGTCAAAGCTCAAAATTGGACCCGCACAGAGACTAAACTGTACCAGATAGCTTGAAATCCGTTTGAAGCATTTAGTATTACGGAAGTAAACTTTTCATTAACCAGTAATAAGATCGAAATAAAAACAAGCGTTGCAAATGCTTCAGACGACAAATTCACTTCAGGTATTTTGTGATGTGTTTGCAATTACTTATTTTTGTTTATCAAGTAAATGTACACATAACTGACACATTGAGGTCGTCCCGAACCTTTAAGAAGATCGGAGTAAATTAGATAATCATGTAAATAAGCTGACAAGAGGCAGACGAGGCTCTTCACTAACTCCACTGTCCACAGTGCTTCATGCCAGCCGATGATCCGCTACTGACGTAACAACTGTAGTGGCCCAACTAGGAACTGTTATAAAAATAACGTTCATTTCACATTTTGAAACCCCAGCCAATTCCAATTAATTATGACTCATGGGCAAATGGATTTTGTATAAATTTAATTAACTAAAGGGAGGTAACTCTTATATCAATCTATGCCCTGACATTTTTTCTGCACTAAATAGTCTAAAACTCTTCTTCTTCTTCTTGTTAAGTTTGTTCACATCATTATTAGTTTCTTTTTTAATTATATTATCGTCAGTTTCTTTTGGTGGTCAGAGTTTGCAACTTACACAAATACCTAAAAACAGTGAGTGGTCTTTCTCTCTCACTGATTACCACAGTCTTAGATCTAATCTAATTCCGTGCTATTTACGTTTTTGAATAGAAAAACACACGGAAAAGGTTTTTTGATATAGTTTATATACTTGTACATGTAATAGTGTATACCACAACTCATCATCTTTTGCTTAAAAATGTTGTGTGACTTAGTAAACAATGTGGTCTCAGTCTGGTTAACGTTTGACCTGTGAGTGAGCTATATTATGCCACAGGGGGTCATAATGTTATAAAGCGAGAATTTAATCCTGAACTTCTTCTGGACCTAACACCAGAATTGAGCCATTTGACAAAAAGGTATCAACACCAGTGTATGGGCTAGAGAATCTCGAGCTAGAATCTCTTTTTTATGAGGTTTATCACAGATTCAGCTAAAGATGAAGTCTGTGGGTTTAAATAGGAGAGTGATCTTTATATCTTAACATGAACAGTGCTTCCTAGAAAACTGCCAAAAGAATTTCAGGCACTTATTATAAGGACAGGTACATGTAGGGTAACAAGAAACAAACTTTTTATATTGCCTAAATATCAATGTATTTTTACACCTAAGACTATTTCATGGATTCTATAGGCAATGCCAAAAAGTATTAAAATGTGTTTCCTGTGAATTCCCTTCTGTATTATTTCTAGTAAATGTAATAACAGAGTTAACAAGTTGAAACAATTTTGTAATACTGTTTCCTTATAAAATACCTTTTCTGTAATTTTTGACCGTAACAGTATCACAGTCTATATTATAAATAAGTGTGCGTCCTATTTATATAAATAGACTGGCTCAGAAACTTGGCACATAATGAAGTCTTCCAGTGATACCATCTGGATTTACTATACATGTATAGTTGTTATTCAAGGCTAATTTTAAGAGATTAAACATTGTTGATACACATTATACAACATGAAAATGTTGCTGTTTATTTTTGCTCTGATTCAGGGCTCAGAAACTCACTCAGGTCACCTGATGTTATTATATTTTTTCTTTTGTCATATTAGAAATGAATATCCCAATTAGTAACTTCATATCAGAACATTGTCTTCAACTGATTATTTGTTATAGGACACAAAATGGAGTCTGATGTGGACACATCTAATCAGCCGGACAATCTGTGTGATCCCAAAAACATGGACAGAGTTCATAAAGTGAAGAGAAAGAGAAAACACAGTGGGACAACAACCTTGTCTGCAGAGGAAATGTAAGCTTTAAATACCTCTATAAACAAACCTTTGAAACCAGTACATGATGAGAGCTTGATAATTTGTTCAGAGTTCAATGATCATCAAAATTTGAACTGTATCTAGAAGTCTTTTGGGTCAATAAATCATGTTGAATATTTCAATGATGAGAGATCCTCATGCCTGGTTTTTGAAATCCGGTTACACTATATAGTAGCCTATCAGTGGATATTTTGGATTTTCAGTTTAGTGATTTATACTTTTATATTTACATCTTCACTGCAAGTTACTCTAAAAGCATTACCAGAAGAAATGGTGTTTATATAGCTATGAACACAATTTTATCAGCATCATTTAGAAGCTTTTTCTCCAGTCTCAAATAACATGAGACAACTGTTAGAAGCAAACAACTTGGTGACATAAGGCTGTTTCCAGGAATATGTTAGCAGTGACGACACAGACACTTCAGTATAGAAAATATTTAAGGGGAATATTTATGTTTAGTGTGATAATAACTTAAAATTTAAGATATAAATATAAGGATTGAATGACATTTGTTCAATGTTCATGCCAGTATGAATGCAAATACCAGTATGACTTGAAAGAAATGCTGTTCAGTCATTATGTATTTACACTAGCATGCATACAGCCTAAAACATACGGTGTATAGAGAGTGTAGAATGAAATGCAGATGTTCATAATATCACATTTATGATAGTATGCATTGTGGAATTTTGGTTTGGTCTTTCAGGGCCAGATAATAGAACTACAATATGTTACAACTAAATTCCTTATTACTCTGACATATTGTTAGTACCTGTACAAGTAGAATAATCATACCTCATAGTCATTCACTATTAATTAAGTCACAAGGATTACATTAAAATTCATCAATATTTCACAGTACAAGAAATCTACAAAGATATGGGGAAACAGTACTTCATTGTGCAGTCCATATTTCCAAGAATATTCGAGACTCGGAGAATGGCTCAGTCCTCAAGTGCATCTGTGCCCTACTTAACTCTGGCGGGGGAATCCTACATATGCAGAATCTGGACTATGATACAAGAGTGCAACCAAAAGACATGGACACATGGTGGAGTGCTATGGAAAACAAAATGGCAGACATCATCTCTGGGGATGACATTTGTAACTATTTTGACATGATTGGTAATTATGATGATAAGGATTTGTATCTGTTTGTGAAAACTGCAGAGCATCTCTGTACCCTGGACTACTACTGTAGGCTTCCAACAGACACAGCTACACATGAGGTATCTTACCACTCAGCCATGAAGCTTCTGACCGCTACTGGTGAACCCAGTGACCTTTGTGATCTCCCACATATTCCAACAGAGTATCATTATGGACAGACACATGAAAGCTTGAAACAAGAGACAAAACAGATCCAGTTTAAACAACTGTCAGCTCCCAGCAGTAGAGACGGGAAATCTCTTCCTTCCAAAATAAAATATACAGTAACCAGGTACCTTTCTGCGTTTGCCAACCACGAAGGTGGCCATATCTACTTTGGAATAGAAGATGTCAAGGCAGCAGTCCTTGGTGAAGAGCTCTCAGAGGAGGAACAGCAAAGGACAGGTGAGTTAAAGCCATGGTTAGGTGAGCTATAGCAAAAGACAGGTGAGTTATAGCCATGGTTAGATGAGTTATAGCAAAAGACAGGTGAGTTATAGCAAAAGACAGGTGAGTTATAGCCATGGTTAGATGAGTTATAGCAAAAGACAGGTGAGTTATAGCAAAAGACAGGTGAGTTATAGCCATGGTTAGATGAGTTATAGCAAAAGACAGGTGAGTTATAGCAAAAGACAGGTGAGTTATAGCCATGGTTAGATGAGTTATAGCAAAAGACAGGTGAGTTATAGCAAAAGACAGGTGAGTTATAGCCATGGTTAGATGAGTTATAGCAAAAGACAGGTGAGTTATAGCAAAAGACAGGTGAGTTATAGCCATGGTTAGGTGAGTTATAGCAAAAGACAGGTGAGTTATAGCCATGGTTAGATGAGTTATAGCAAAGAACAGGTGAGTTATAGCAAAAGACAGGTGAGTTATAGCCATGGTTAGATGAGTTATAGTAAAGGACAGGTGAGTTATAGACATGGTTAGATGAGTTATAGCAAAAGACAGGTGAGTTATAGCCATGGCCAGATGAGTTATAGTAAAGGACAGGTGAGTTATAGACATGGTTAGATGAGTTATAGCAAAGGACAGGTGAGTTATAGCCATGGTCAGATGAGTTATAGCAAAAGACAGGTGAGTTAAAGCAAAAGACAGGTGAGTTATAGCCATGGTTAGGTGAGCTATAGCAAAAGACAGGTGAGTTATAGCCATGGTTAGATGAGTTATAGCAAAGGACAGGTGAGTTAAAGCAAAAGACAGGTGAGTTATAGCCATGGTTAGATGAGTTATAGTAAAAGACAGGTGAGTTATAGACATGGCCAGATGAGTTATAGCAATGGACAGATGAGTTATAGCAAAGGACACACGATTTATAGCAAAGGACCAATGCGTTATAGCAAAGGACAGGTGAGTTATAGCCATGGCCAGATGAGTTATAGCAAAGGACACATGATTTATAGCAAAGGACCAGTGAGTTTTCGCAAAGGACAGACGAGTTATAGCAAAGGACAGGTGATCATGAGTTGTAGCAAAAGACCGGTGAGGTATAGCAAAGGACCAGTGGGTTACAGCTATTTTAAAATAGCTATCTCCTTTTTTAAAAGCAATTATATATCTCTGTCCCATCAAAAAGAAAAAGAAGTATTTTGGACTAAACAGCAAGGGACTGGACAGTTACATCAAAGGAAAGGTGTTAAAATAAAGGACAAATGAGTTTCAACAAAAGACAGGTTATTCGTTACTCAGTTACAGCAATGAATAAACGGATTACAACAAGGTCCAGAGCAGTAACTGCAAAGAAAAGGTAATTTACAGCAAGGGACAGGTGAGTTACAGGTAATGGAGGTGGGTTTCAACAGAGGGCAGGTAAATAACAGCAAGGGACAGGACAGTTCCGACAAAGGAAAGGTGAGTTACACTACAGCAAGGGACAAGACAGTTACAGCAAAGGAAAGGTTGGTTACAGCAAAAACAAGTAAGTTACAGAGTTGAAATCTTAGCTGATACAAAACAACATGTTTGAACATTAGTTGTCATATATTTTATAATTACTACTCATTTAAGGAAATTTAATTGTGAACTTGATCTAAAATATAGATAAAATAAAGTATTGTGCCTTCTAGCATTATAAAGCTAAAAAAAGAAGAACACTAATTACTTTTTACAGTTGACCTGATGGTCGCAAAGATGCAACCAGTTATTTGGGGCAACACTGAATTTCAACCAATCAGAGGCAAGCACTGGAATATTCAGTTCTTCCCTGTTAACGATTCTCCAAGAGTAATGGTAAGAAGATTAAACTTTTATTTCATTCCTTATACATGTCTTTTTTATTATCACAAATTATGCAGATCAGAAAAATACAAGCAAAGCCTAGGACTTTCAATATTTCATACATGTTTCATCATTGTGTTCAGTGACATGAGTGATATAGATAATAGCTATAAACAGTAACATTACAAGGGCAATCATTTTGACAATTTACCCAAGGTATTACAAAGATGGTGACACAGGAGTTTAATTTTCTTTCCATTATCTGAATTTTAATATGTAGAATTACTTTCTATCTCCAAATAATAAAGTTTAAGAAGGCATGCTGGAAACATATTGTCTATCTGTAGACATATTTTTTTTCTGCATTATTCCTCCAAAGGTTCTGCATTGATTTTAAAGAATGTTTTCACACATCTTACCCGCCACATAAACATTGTGCAAGTATGGTCTACATGTTGTTTCCAGTGAAACTGTGCACGTGGTATTACTAGTTACTGGTATGATTGTTGATTTACTAAGCTTCACTAAGCCTTCAATATCTAGTAAACTACCTAGCCTGATTACCTAATTAAGCATCAGGTCATGTCCAGATCTACCACTCCCACCCAATACATATTGTACACAGACCAGTTTTAGTGAAATTTTCCAATATGTTACAATTATATGGAACTTACTTTTAAATCATATGAACCTGTGTATGTGTCAATCTGCAGTGTGATTTTATATGTTTTTGAAACAGTTGTTCCTCTAAACAGACAGTGGGTAACAATACTACTTTTTACAGTATATATGTATACTTCACACTGTTACAAGGGTCGGCGGATGGTTATAGTGGTGTCTGTCTGTAAGTTTCCTGGTGGAGTGTTCACATCCGTACCAGAGAGCTACTATATCAATGACTATGGAGGCGTTGAGAAATGGTCCTTCCAGCTGTGGAAACAGGCACTTCGGTCATCTCACAGAGGTAAACAAATCTTTATTCTGTATTTTGTGAATATGGAAACTTACAAAATGTTAACATGTAGTAGTTGCGTTGTATTTCATTGTGTAATGTTCTCTGCCAAAAGCAGTGCTCTTCTTATTATGAGTTTCTTGTATTGTTATAAAATACAGCTAATTTCATATTTAATACAACAATTGAGGACTTCCATTTCGGTAAATATGTAGTTATATAAACCTGAAAATGATACCTCGTCTCAGGGAATATCTCTTTATCAGGTTCATACAACTATACATTCACCTCAACAAAAGTCTATAGATGATAAATATAACTAAAACTATGTCACCCTGGTAATATACTATATAATTATATAATACAATTATGCATTACACACATATTAAGCATGTGATGTACCTTTGTATTACAGACAAACCTGAGCTACACAACAGATTTGTAAAGCTTGCCCTGAATGTACCACAGGCCCCACTGGTGTTTACACTACAGCGTACTGTGGAGGCTATCACAGACAAACTGCTCCAAAGTAGGTTTGGGTTTGATTATCTCCCCTGAATCCCTTCTATACGTACCCGTGTGTACTATACACTCTAATCTCAAGTTCTATGGACACATTTTAATAATCCAAAACATTAGGAATATCCTTGGCTATTTCTGAATGTGCACGTAAGTTGTTTTTAAACCGGAATGAAAAATCAAAAGTCATAGATGGGTTGATTACTCTTTAATTTCAAGGAGATTGACAGTAAAACTTATAGGATATTCGTGGCTGCAGGAATGGCTGCCTCTGTATCCACATCACTATAATGTTAAATACATTGTGATAAAAATGAAATTTTATAATTGTAGAACGACTTTAATGGAAAATCTTTGAAGGTATCAGTGATAATTCAGAAAGTGTTATAGCCGTACCAATTTATATGTTTTAAGCCACTAACAATTGTAACTTTGACATTTATAGGGAGTAAAACGGAATGGTTACAGCCCAGACATGCCTTGGATGTCATATCTGATCCCCGTAAAAAGGAGTTTGTCCGGGACACATTAGAACAATACAGGGACATGGACAGTATCTGTATTGTTGTGAACTGCTGGGGCCTTCAGGTCACACTACCTCCACCGAAATGTGTTCTTTGTGATGTTTTAATCATAAGCGAGACACGTGGGTGTCAACTTCTCACCTTCACAGAAGTGGTAAACTGCAGGACACGAGAGTACTCTTCTTCAGTTGCTGCATTCCTGAAAAGTCGAATGGTTCTACATGGAGGCTGTACAGACAAATTTGGAGTAACTTGTCAAGTCCTACATATTATAGAAAAGTGTAATCATTCAGGCTCAGCCTGCTCAAGAAATCTTGAAACTTCAGATGATGAAGATCTATATCCTTCTCACTTCAACATGAACGCTCATAAGTATGGAAACCTTATCAGGTCCCTCATAGTTTGTATGGCAGCCTACAAACCAGTTGACTTTACTACACTGGCCGCCGGCAATAGGGAGGAGGTATTGGCCAACATGTCCTACTTTTTCTTGTTGACCAGCGACCAGTTTGACCTGCTTTGGAGCCAGCAGTTCACCAAGGAGCTGTGGATCCATGGGCCACCAGGGTCAGGCAAAACTGTCGCTGCAGTTCAACTGATTCAGGAACTCAGGAGGCGGGGTAGTGGACAGCACGAGATCCTGTACCTAGCCGAAAATGACATGCTGTGTTCATATGTCAGGTATGGTCAAACACGAAAGGCAGTTATTAAATGGTCCATTCTTTCAGGTGTGGAGTCATTATTAGGAAGCATACCTGTAAAAAATGGCCCAGAATTACTGGTGTTCAGTCACGACTAGGTTCACACCCGTAACATTTAAGGAAGTCTTATTTTACGTTTATAGGGTTGTTTTGGGACTGTCGACAATGAGAGAGGTTTTTGCTTTTTGTTTAACCTTTTCTCCACTGTAGACTATAATGGACTCATCCATATCAATGCATGGGAGAGTCTTCTAAAGTTGCATAGGTGGGAAAGGGTTAAACAATAAATCGTGTATCTCTTATTAAAGTCAAATTTACGATTTTTGTTTTTAAATCTGCTATTTTCATGATGAAAGAGAACTACATTGTAGCCTTATAAATCATGATTTTTCGCAAAAATTTATCTTAATTATATTGTTTAATTATATTCTTGTCTAAAAAAATGTAAATAGAGTTTAACTTATTGATGATTGTTGTATTGTTGAATTGATTTATGTCTGTTAACATTTCATCGTGTCGTTACACTGCATTTGAAATGTTTTACATAAAGAATTCAAATTGTAGACAAGTGAACTTTAATAGAGACAACTGAAGTAGTCAATATTATTTGCTTAATACACTAGAAGTGTTTGAGATGGATGTCTTAATCTATCAGCCTCTACTGTTGTGTTTTCAAATCACACTTTATTAATGACAGGATTTTTTTCATAGGAACATTTAAATGAACATCAGCAAACTAATAACTGAGAGATATATTCCAAACATTTGTTTGTTTTATCTTTCAGGTCATTCAACATATGTAAGGTCTGCACCAGACGCAATTTTCTGAAGAAAATCCAAAAGGTAGAAAACAAGCATGATACTTCAAAGAAAGCTTTTAGTTATATTAGCAATGTTATCATTGACGAGGCACAGAACTTCAAAGCGAGAGACGGTGATTGGTATAAATTGACTAACGAACTAACAAAGCAACACCGAGTTGGTGACTTGAAAGACAAAACAGTTCCTGCAGGATACTTCTGGGTTTTCATGGACTATTCCCAAAAGGTTCACAAGTTTGAAGCTGGCCTTCCTTCTATTGTGGGTAAAAACAACTTCATGTTGAGTGAGGTATCAAGAAACTCCAAAGAAATATTTGACTACGCTATGAATTTCATGACTCCGAAAGAAAAACTGATTGCAAATGATCAAGTTCAAGGTCTTAAAATGGGGGAAAGCCTTCCAAAACTTGGTCATGATTATTCTTCTGGACGAAATGTTGACATTGTTTCCTGCAGTTCTAGTGAAGTGAATGACGCTGTTGTAAAGGTGCTGTCTTCTGTTCTCGGAACTGGGGTGGATATCAAGGATATTGCTATTCTGGTAGGTAGGCGCCAAGACAAGGAAGTTATGACTCCTTCTGTTAAGAATCTTGTGGAAAGGTCAGGGGTCAAGGACTCTGTTACCATAGATACTGTAAAGGGATTCAGTGGCATGGATCGATCGGCCATTATAGGGGTGAACCCACGGGTCAATGAAGATCACGCAGACTTCAGTAAATATCTATTGAGTTTAGCAACACGAGCTAGGGACAGTCTTGTTATCATAACCCCGTCGGATAAAAATCAAGAGAAACTTTCTTGTAACACCTCTGAATATCTATAAATTTATTTATGCATGTTATACTAGATAATCAGTTTTATACAATGTATATCGGTGTTACCTGAGAAACATTTTTGTTTAAGTGTAGAGTCATTTTTTTTGTGTGGGTTGTCTCTGTGTTTTTGTTACCTAAATTTTACAACAGCTTGTTCCTTTATTAATTGGGAAAATATAGCATTATTTGTATTGAAATTGAGAATATATTCCTCAGTTTTGGGTAGTTTTGGGAAAATAAGGCACTTTTTAGCCAGGGGAAATGGCCTATATTCGGCAATAAAACTGAGCAAACAAATCACTGTGTCTACATGCAAAAAATATTTAATAAAATTTGATGTAGAGAATTTAATGCTATGAAGATAACTATCAGCGTAATACCATGTATATTTATTTTACCTCCTGTAGTTAATTCTTACACATTGATTTTTTATATCTTATCATTCTTTTTTATGTACATTTAACTATTGACGTCACCTAAGCCTTTGATTCAGTGACCTGTTGTCTTTGTGTGTAATCGTTCATATTTTGTTCATGTCAGATGTGGCCGTATCTCAGCCAGGTGACTAATTCCCATCAATTTAGTTTGTTTGGTGTGTGTGTGTTACATCCTATTAACAGCTAGGGTCATTTAAGGACATGCCAGATTTTTGTTGTTGGAAAAAAGCAGAGTTCCCAGAGAAAAACCACCGAACTGCAGCCAGCCCCTGTAGGCCTCAAACCGCAACCCAGCGATGGAGGCATTCATAAAATAGATGGTATATATACAATGTATTGTGTAATAGTTATAAGAAATACTTATTGTTTGGTGCCATAGTTTTAAATATTAATGTATTTTAAAGAAGCATTTGTTATACCGCGGGTATATCAAATTATATTGAGAATAAAACAAAAAAAACTTGTCTGTATTGTTTGTAATTTTTGAACTTGATATCAGGCAAAAACTCAAATAAGTATATGTGCAGCACACAGGGGTTCAGAATGTGTCCATTGTCCAAATACTTTATAACAGGAATTTTTTCGCCCAATTTTAACATTCATTTTTTTGCCATGACTTACTGATGGCAAATTTATCATTAGAGTGAGCAGTAGTAAATAAAGTAATAAACATAGCAATCAAGTGTGATGGGCGAACCTAACACTGGGTGAATACAGCGAAAGTTTGGCTTGGTGACAGTTTGCTGTTACATGTATACAGTAATTTTAAATGACATTTTAGAGCATAGGAAAAAAACATTGCAACATATGATTAGCTAACATGGTACAAAGTTCTTATGTTATAGTGCAACATCTGTTATCAGCCCTCATAACTTTTAGCTCACCTGCCCGAAGGGCAAGTGTCCAGCTTATGCGGTACTGTGACGTCCGGCGTCAACTTTTCCCTTTAAAAGCCTTTATCTCCTGAACGACTGATTGGATTTTAACTAAATTTGATATGAAGCATCCTTGGGACCAGGGGCTCAATGGATTTATGAAATAAGGGTGTGGCTCCCTAGGGGTTTAGTAAGGGGCCAAAAAGGGGAAAATTTAGAAAAAAATAAAAAATCTTCTTCTCCATTTCCAGAAATTCTAAAACCAAATACTACTCATAGTTGTAAAGGCCTTTGGGTGGTTTATAAAAAATGTAATTTTCATGTCCTCTAGCCCCCCCCCCCCCATTTGTTCCTGGGGAGGAGGTGAAGTTTAGTATAGTTCATATAGGAAATAAACATAATAGGCCATATCTTCCATTGTTTTGAAAGGAAGTTGTTCATATTTAAAAAAAATTGTGAGCCTGCCCCCTAGGGGGCTGAGTTAGGGGCCGAAAGGGGGGGGGGAGGACATTTTAAAAATCTTCTTCTTTAGTTATAAAAATGCTAGGATCAAATACTACTCATAGCTGTAAAGGCATTTGGGTGGTTTATACAATTTGTGATTTTCATGTCTCCCAGGGCCCCCGTTTGCCCCTGGTGAGGGGGTAAAATGAGTATAGTTTATATAGGAAATATACATAATAGGCCATATCTTCCAATGTTTTGAACGGAGTTTGCTCATATTTGACCGAAATACTTGTTAAGGGAGGAAGGTCTGCTGGTATAGTTTTTGTGACCCTGACCCCCTAGGGGGCTGGGTTTGGGGTAAAAAAAGGAGGCGAATTACAAAAATCTTCTTCTGCAGTTCCAGAAATGCTAGTATCAAATACTACTCATAGTTGTAAAGGCCTTCGAGTGGTTTATATAATTTGTGATTTTCATGTGCCCCAGGTCCCACATTTGCCTTTGAGGAGGGGGTAAAGTTTGGTATTGTTTATATAGACAATTTGACAAATGAACAACCATCACATACTTTTTATCTCCATCCCAACTAATGTGCTAGTAATAGTAACAACCTTAATACTTTATGAATTATAAAGTCTCCATAGTAACGCTTACATGTTCTTACCCTTCATGTCTGAAGTGGTTACAAATTGGCATTACAGAGCAAATGTAAATATTGTGCAATGATTGCTTAAATAACCAGGTGAGCGATACAGGCCCCGTGGGCCTCTTGTTTAAATGTCGGCCATGTAGCATGCTGGGGCATATACAATGGGAGGCTAAAGTGTTGCCCATGTCTGTCATGTCCCTTCTTGTCTTGATTCAATGTAAACACTCCAGCAACTTCATTCTTTGACAGATTTTCATCAAAATTTATACAAATGTCCAAAGTATGCGAATGAGTTCTTGTTTTAGGATTCAAAGGTCAAGGTCAACATTGCTATTTATAGTAAATCATCAACCAATTCAGTGTCATCAGTTAAACAACTTTATTTCCTAACAGATTTCAATCAAATTTTATACAAAGGTCAAGTATGAGCATAACTCTGACATCTGTGTTTTAGGGTTCCAAGGTCAGGGCAAAGGTCATTGTTGCTGTATATGGAAAATATGGGAGGGGGGGGGGGGGGGGGGGGGGGGAAGCGATCAAAGTCGTTGTAACTATAGTAAATTAAAACCTGAAACCAGGTAGGCACTCATGTCTTACAGACATTTTCTAGTTTATTTCATTGTCAATGACCTTTACCTTGATTCGAGGTAACAAAGCATGTGTTAAAATTTTCAGATCATATTTTTCTAATACATCAAGATGTCGCGATATATTACGAAGTTTGTCAAAAGAAATGACGTGAAGTCATATATCAAGGTCACTTGGGCCAAGAGCATAAAACATTATCTTATGAGGCCTAAATATATCATATTATCTTTTAAGTTTTCTTCCCCGGACAAATATCTGTCACCTACATTCCTGCAGGATCACCGGGGTCATATTGTGTTGACCAGTTTTAGAAGCGACTTCTACAGAGACAGGGGGGCTTAGATTACTGATACTTGGCCTGTAGCCTAGGCAGATAAGGGACTATCTTTTGATTCAAATAAAGACCCATTTATTGAGATTTCTAATGTCACAGGGTAAATTCATTCAACATGTGCGTGAAATAGACCCATTGCCATTTAATCATGTAACGAATTTCCGTCAATATCCCTATGTTATATTGTAAAACTAGTTTAAGCTTTAAAGATTTGTGTATTATGGCTTTTATTGGGAGTTGTATGTAATGTACTAATAAAGGGGCAAACATATAATAATTACACAGTTATGTACTCAGCAAATTAAGAAAGGTTAACATGTTACTTTGCAGAATATCGTTAATTACACAGGGGCATTTACTTTACTTGTAATATTAAAAAATAGGGGTCTGGACCGTCTCCTATACTAATAAATACATGTATTTACTAGTATAGGAGACCCTTTATTTTTTAATATTACAAGTAAAGCGATCCATGCCCCTGTGGCTAATTATATAGTGTCTAGTGAGTTTGGTAGGAATATCTGTATCGATAAGCAGTGTTTTAAATTAAATCAAGCATACGTGAAATCCACCAATCACCCTGTAGCACCAAACAGATTGTTCATACCTCAACAGAATAGTCAGTCTCAAGCGGTGTTTACCCATTCTCAAAACCCCTTTAAAGTTATCCATTTATACAACGCCATATCTAAAGTAGCGAGAACGAGCTGATGGTATGCTACAGGTAGGGGTGACGCAACGTGAAGTTCAGAGACGTTTTGGGTGTAGTAAAGTGCAATTTTTTAATGCGACGGCGTCGACGTCCGACCGGCCAAGAAGCGGTAGACTACGAATTACCACATCTCGTTAAGACCGCCGGATACGGCTGCAGAAACTTCGCGACCGCTTTGTTCCTGCATCTGTGACGACAAGAACATTGCTTGGTCGCCGTGTAAATGGATAAACGATAGAAAACCGTTTACAAATGCATCGCATGCATGACGTTCTTACTCCGGCCCTGTGTTAACGCGACGTCGACTCCTGCCCTTTGCTAACGCGATGTCGACTCCGGCCCTGTGTTAACGCGACGTCGACTCCGGCCCTGTGTTAACGCGACGTCGACTCCGGCCCTGTGTTAACGCGACGTCAGGACCTTTCTGCAACAAAACAATGCTATCGCTTTGGATTGGCCTGCAAAATCGCCGTGTTGGTCTCCAAAAGAGTTCATTTTTACGTTATGGAGGAGGAACTTGCGATGTCGCCCAAATCAGCCCTCCAAACTGCAGGAGTTCGCCCAGGCATTGTTTGAGGAGTGGAATAACAGCCCCCCTCCCCGATATCATCCGACGTTACATCTCAATGCGCTGTCGTTGCAATACACGCTATAAGTGCAAAAACGTGACCCTCCCCATTCCCACATGACGTCAACGTTCCAAAGTATCGCTGAAACGTAACGAATTATTTAATATTCCAATAACAGACATCCAAATAAATCATTTCATACTATATTTCCTACATATTTAAACAAAAAATGATAATTGATATGCTCCCGTTACAATACTTGTTAACCATTTTTTTTGCCGAGTGATGAAAGCCTAAAGTTTATATACATTTACTAGGTTGTATCCTATTTTGTACCTTACTGTGACGCCAATGTAATTAAAATCATATCCTTATTTCCGTTCCTGTACGATGAGGAACGGGAATTTAGATCTGATTTTAATTAGATTGACTGTGACGCACAACTCCTTTCCAACGGTTCAATAATACAAAATATGTAAATATATTTTATAAATTGTATTTAAAATTTACTCATTTGAGCACCACGCATTTATTTTGGTAGTATTTACGTTAATCTGAATTATTAGATGCTAAATAAAAATAAAATCGATGGAGATAATTTTTAAAGTGATCACAGGTAGCATTGTACATATATACGATACAATGCTACACCCTAGCTACACAATAAGCACCTGTTCGAACAATTACAACGTAAATTTAGCTGTAATGTAGTTCCTGTATGATAACGATAGTATCTATGGAAACACAGAAACATGTCAATATACGTACGTGATAAGATTTTTCTAGCCTAGATTCCCTATGCTCGATCTTTTATTGATTTGTATTTTGATTTGACATCCTGGTCTGGAGTATCCTGTCAAAACCTTGTCGCTCTTATCAGCCCTCCCACAATCTATCTCCACATTACAGAGAGAACATGAATCTCTACATTTCCTGCCTGTGTTGCGTGTTTTTGTGTTCCTTACCCCCGGGGAATGGGGTTGGGCAGTTTTCACTGCCCCCTTTGCCCCAACAGCCATCGTTTAAGGCTGCCGGAATCACATATGATGACGGGGGCATGGCGCCTTTGTTTGACTTCGCCCGAAGTTTCATCGACACATGTCTGTCAGCTGGATTTCCTACCCAACTCGTTGACGGTAACGTTGTTTGGCACATTCATAAATTTGATACAATCTGTGAAAAATGTATTAAATTGGTTGTAATGCTTTATACTGAAAACGAATACTATCAGGAGGAAATGCAGGTCGCGACCTTTAAATACGTGTTGACCCAGCAAAAATAACAAATCATTTCTTTTTTGGGAACACACAATTTACTCCATAACTGAAAGCCTTTTCATTACTGCAAACTTTTGGATAATTTTAATGCTAAATGTCATCACTTATCATATGCACTTTTCAATGTTTTACTTCTTTTATGACGTCACGTCGTAAATTCAAGCTTTCTCCCAATAGGAGAAGTCCAATAATTCGTTTGGAACAGAGAAAATGTAGCTTTTCTATAATGTCTTATGGAATAAACCAGATTTAGATTTCTGATAATTTATCATGTTTCACATCCAATATTTTGATTTGTTTTCAAATATGATTATCTGTCTGAAGCTCATACATTATTATACTTGATATTAACGACACGTCACTGGCGATAAATCACGAACTGTCGTCTCTCGACGATGGAAAGTCGCTATACAATGTATATCCGGCTATTAAAAGTGTAAGGCGTTGTCCAGTAGCACTCTCGTTTATCACGGTCAGAAGAGTAGAGGGTACATGTAAATACGAATTGACAGTTACTGCAAACATTTCCTTTATACATAAGTGTGAACACTACGGGATAATAATAAAACATATAGCAATCGTAGCCACGTGCTGAATTTTATTTTATAAATTTTATTTGCTAATATCTTATTATTAATGTCTTTTTTATCATGAATAAATTTACATCAATATATCCAACAAATTTTCTTATAAAAACATATTCTCAAAAATCTCACAGCTTGATGTACGTGTCACACACGTAGCAAATTTTAGCAAACTCTGAATGTTTTTTATGAACATACGTATGTATATTAAACGTAAAATAGTTTGTTAACAAAACAGCAACAAATTTAATTTGAAAGACTTGTTAAAGATGGGGATATAAAGGGAACAAAAAGGTAATAACGAAATAATACATGCAGAGAAAGTTTGAGGAAAGTTTATTCAGCGCTCCAAAAAGTACCCCGTGTGTATGAAGCAAACTTTCACGTTACGATATAGTCTAAGAACGCGGATTGAATACATAATTGATGACGTCATGGAGTTCTGTCGTGTTCCAGGCTTACGGTGTTGGTGCTGGAAATTCAGCGTATTTTTTATTTACATGTATATATTTCTCTTTACATTTTTCCTGACATTTGGAAATTATATTTTCAGACATGGTGAATGGAGACCTCGTACTTGACGGGGATATGATCAAGAAGGTAACAGAGCTAAAGTCTTTGTTCTGACAAGTTAACACACCTTAATATCTAATAATACTGAGTTATCAAAATGCGGTTTTCACTTTGGCTGGTTCACTTTAACGACCCCCAATCGGTACAGCAATGTGCTTGACACTTTCTGATATTTACATGCAACATATAAACGGTGTTCCAACCCCGATTTACAGGGCTGACGTAGCATGTTTACACACATGCGAACTGTACAGCAAACCTCCGAGTACTAGAGTATTCTAGATGTTTTATTTTTTACATGCCTTTCATGCGTGTTGGCCCGTCCGTCTATTTACTTAACCTTGTAACCGTAGGTCGTTCCAGACTTCGACTGATTTTGTTTAAAATTTTGATGTGCGTAATGGAAGTCATATAGAAAAAGCATAATGTACATTTAAAACGTTTTTAATATTATGATATAGCAGTTTCTTGTTTCTTCGAAACATTTGAACAGATGTTGAAAAAATAAGGAAAAGTAAGTAATCAATATAAAACAATTGCGAACAGTTGAAACAGGACATTGTCCTGTTCCTTGCCAATGAAGCAAAATACGTTCTCTCATTTCAGCACTCCCAATAAATAACTTAACTTTCCTGTGCAATTAAGTTCAAACTTGTATTAAAATACTTTGATTTTTTTGTCTGAATGGTTCTTTGTTTGACAATTAAGTTAGAACTTAATTTGCAATAAAAATAGAAGTTACTGAAACTCCATTTAAAAATACAATCATAGAAATCTTACAATTCGAAAATCCAAATGAATGATATTATTTTTCCGGATTCTAAGTTCGTGTCTAGTAACATTCGTCATTCCCGAAGTGTGAAAGTGAGACTTTTTTTAGTGAAAGTTATTTATTCTGGACGTTCGATTTGCTTTATCAGTGAAACATCGCTATACCGGGCATTTTGTTCATGTAAATGTGAAACGTTGCTATTCCGAAAATGATATTTCGTGAGTAGTGAAACCTCAATTTTCAAAAGGAAAACGTTTTTTTTTTACAGTCTGGATGTAAAGTTTTGAATGTGATTAGCTAAAAAGCAGTTAACCCAATAAAACTGTCATTTTTCATGCTGTCCATTCCTTTCTCTAGATACAGACGTTAAAGAAACTAATTTGTAAAATATAAAATGTGTTTTGTGTTACGTAATAGTTTTAATATTTTATGTCTTGACAAAGGGGCGGATATTTTACCATTTTTAGCTTACCTGGCACGAAATGCCAAGTGAACTTAATGCCGCGGCGCGGCGTCCGTCGTCCGTCCGTCCGTCGTCCGTCGTCCGGTGTCAATATTTTATTTTAAACGACTTCTTCTTAATAACCGAAAGGCCTAGGGTGTTGATATTTGGTCAGAAGCAAACTGGGATGAAGGGCTACAAAGTTTGTTAAAATTAATTACCTTCACCTATTTTCAAGGTCACAGGGGTCAAATATGTTAAAAAGTTTAAACATCTTCTTCTCGATAACCAAACTGCTCAGGGAGATGATATATAACCAGTAGCATGCTTAGGTGAAGGGCTACCAAGTTTGTTCAAATGAATGACCCTCAATTATATTCAAGGTCACAGTGGTCAATTGTCTTAAAAAATCTTTAAACAACTTCTTCTGAATAACCAAAATGCCCAGGGTGATGATATTTCGCCAGTAGCATGCTGAGATGAAGGGCTACAAAGTTTGTTCAAATGAATGACCTTCACCCATATTCAAGGTCACAGGGGTCAAATATGTAAAAAACTTTAAACAACTTCTTCTCAATAACCAAAATGCCCAGGGTGATGATATTTGGCCAGTAGCATGCTGAGATAAAGGGCTACAAAGTTTGTTCAAATTAATGACTTTCACTTATATTCAAGGTCACAGGGTTCAAATATGTGAAAAACATTAAACAACTTCTTCTGAATAACCAAAACGACAGGGTGATGATATTTGGCCAGTAGCATACTGAGATGAGGGGCTACAAAGCTTGTTCAAATGCATGACCTTCACCCATATTCAAGGTCACAGAGGTCAAATATGTTAAAAACATTTAACAACTTCTTCTGAATAACCAAAATGCCCAGGGTGATGATATTTAGTCAGTAGCATACTAGGATCAATGGCTACCAAGTTTGTTTAAATGTTTGACCTTGAATCATATTCAAGGTCACAAGGAGCAAATATGTTCAAAATATTTAAACAACTTGTTCTGAATAACCAAAAGGATCAGTATGTTGATGTTTCGTCAGTAGCATGCTGGGATCAAGGACTACTATGTTTGTTGAAGTGAATGACTTTGACTTATATTCAAGGTCACAGGGGTCAAATGTGTTTAAAATCTTTAAACAACCTCTTCTGAATAACCATGTGTCCCAGGATGTTGATACTTTGCAAGTTGCATCCTGAGATGAAAGGCTATACAATTTGTTCAACATAATGACTTTGTTCGACTTTCAATCACAGGGGTGAAATGTTTTAAAAAAAAATCACAGGGTCTTTTGAATGAATTTTAATCATAAATACTGATATTTTGCCTGTAGCTTTATTTTAGATCACTTTTAAGGTTACAAGTGTGAGATTTATACCAGGTGAACGATGCAGGCCCATTGGGCCTCTTGTTATTGTCGGTTTTACTTCTTTGCTAAAGAATATATACACAATTATCGATCATATACGCAATACAAATTTAATATACTCATATTCGACGATTTGTACCAGCACTCGTGTCAAAACAATAGAAAAGTTAAACAAAGTGTCAGTATTATTTTCAGCCATGAGATGTACCGTGTACACGTACTGTACATATACTTATGTCATCGCGCTTTTTTTATTAAACAGGAGACGTTCCAAATATTACTTCCCTCTAAATACGCGGACGTCTATTTACACTTTACAAAAGGTTGATATTGAACAACGAATCTTCCAATTGATAAAAGCCCTACTGCTGACACAACAGTATTGATAACTACACTTTTTACTTGGTCATTTATTAGTTTGACAGAAACCTAAGGTGCTTCTGGCTTATATACGTTATCAATATATACGGTGCAAAAAGATCAATCGCGCAGAATTTTTGTTCTGTGTAAATACATATATGTCAGACATAAGTAAACTGATCAACAGGTACACGTGCACAAGCACGTTTGTGTGCTCGTTTTACAATAATCAATAGATAAGTAACGTTTAAAGGCTGGGTCTTATATTGTCATGTTGATAGGTACCACATTGTAGGGCACACACATAATCTCTAAAAAGTATTGATGTTTCTCGGAAGGTATCGAGCTGATTACTGGGAACAATTGCCTGATATGTTGCTACGCACCACACACGTGGTTAGTGTAGTACACAGCATATGTCAGTTCAGCTTACTTCTAGCGTAAGTCACGAGGAGTGTTGTATCCACAATACTGTCAAAGCGGTCACTGACTGAGAATGAATCCTTGCTTTATCTCAATTCAACTGTTCTTAGCTCGCCTTTTATAAACACCACATCTTATATAACACTACAACTCACCTCGCAGAATAATATACAATTGTATTAACAAGAGGCCAATCATGCCTGTATCGCTCACATCATGGCAAACTATTTTCATTACCAGTAATATTACCAATATTACTCCATTTTGGGCTGTCTCTCAGCTTCAAAGGTGACAACTCTTTTCTTTTATATGGCATTTGTTTTCTTGTCCTAAGAAAGCTTCACTGAAAAGTTGTCGGACATAATTTTCCTCTTTTGGACATTGCGAGTCAGCCCCCAGATGAGCTACATTCTTCCTTTATACATAAACTCATTCTAAGGACCAAGTATGCTTTGCAAGCAAATGGTTATTTTATTTGTTTGTTTGATTTTGTTTAACGTCCTATTAGCAGCTAAGGTCATTTAAGGACGGCCTCCCCTGTGTGCAAGATGCATGCGTGAAGTGTATGTGTGTGTATTTTGGGAGGCTGCGATATGTTCGTGTTTGTCTCCTTGTGATAGCGCGGAACCGATGCCGACTTTATAGTGCTACCTCACTGAAACAAATTGCCGAAGACACCCAGCAGGACGCCCCACCCGGTCACATTATCCTGAGTAATGGTTAAGATCCGGTTATAAGTATATATATCTATAGGGCCTAGGTAATGACCCTGTGACTACATACGCCTCCCCACACACATAACGGGCTCCTTCCGTCTGCCCAGGGGAGGGGCCACACCCTACGTTTTTACAACATTGAGTTTCCTTAGGCCAAGTATACGTTTTGTCAAATTTGCTTATAATAAATTCTTTCATCGTTGCGGAGGAAGCATATTAAAATGAACCTTTATTGTACCTGTTAGCTCCCAAACCCTGCCATGAAGAAAGAGGGCATACTCTCCATTTATAAAACATGACGTCCGCATGGATAAAGGAATTTTCAGACCAAAGTTAGTCAGAACCCACTCTGTTCCCGACTAGTAGCGTTTTAAAGCCGGAAAAACGTGACTTGTGAAGTTAAAAATAACTGAAGGTTATACACAGGAACAATATGGTTAAGATTCTCTTTGGCTAAACCTGGACTTTTCGACTTTAACACAATGCGAAGGGAATTATGTTTACCAACATATGATTAATGATAGAACATCACTTCTAGTTAGCGTAAAAATGTACTACGTTGACATAATTTATAACGCAAAAACAAAAAATACACTTATGTATGCATTTATTATACAGATACAGATATTTTATGAAATTTTCCCCTCCTAGCAATTTTCACATTTCAAATAATGTCATTATACATGAAGTGAAATGAGAGATTATATCTAAAAGCGAAAGCATGTGGATCGAAGGAGTAATTTAACGGTAAAATCTCACATAACACTGGATCTTTACCAATCTGATTAAAATACAGCTCCTCTATACTATCATACGATTGATTAAAATACAGCTCCTCTCTACTATCTTACGATACATTAAAATACAGCTCCTCTCTACTATCTTACGATTGATTAAAATACAGCTCCTCTCTACTATCTTACGATTGATTGAAATACAG